ATAATGTGTAATTATTAGTGGTTTAAAAGTTTTCCGGGGTTTGTAAATAGACGTATACGGTAAAATTATCATTATACTGTACGACTATGCAGCGAATATGTGTTACAAATAACAGATTGGACACCGGTCGCCGCCAATTCGATGGTGTACGTAATGCGGACGGGTGTAACCAATTATCGTCGCCACCAATATATTACGGGAAATCCCCAATGACCCGTATTATCTCGAATGTGTACAATTCTAGAAATTCCATTGTTCAATATAAACCACACGTCCTACACCCCTAACGAATACACCGGACACGTCTTGTCGCACCGCTATTCTCTAATTTCGATTGACGCATTGTTACGGATGACGTAATATTAAACGTAAATTCAAAGTGGAAAGTCGTGAAGATAGGACGCACAAGGTCGTTTCATTCATATCCGTAAGCAGCGATAAACCATTGCTGACGACAGACGATTCCGAGCGCAGTTCGGTAGTACATAATTCGAAGTGCCGGAATTTGTTTTGCTTGATCACCAAAACACAACTTTGCTATCGAATTGTCATTTCTATCAACAACAGTGCAATCATCATTAAGCTGACAGAAAATTTCCCCGATTATAGCTGAAATTATCAACGTCTTGTCAAATTGTTGATACGCAATACGCACCGGCGCAACTCAAACAACGAAACGTGAGCATTCCAACTGAATTACGATAACTTCGTCTTCTTCTGGGTTTTCCGAATCATGAAATCAAAAAAAAAAAAAAACGACTTGCGCCATAAGAAACAAAATGTACAATGAAACGAAAAAAGGTTTCTTGTCATTTTTCGATTAAAGCACTTATCCGAATAATAAATGTTTGCCGTTTCAGACAAATCGTCCGTAGACAGTCCACCAACTAAAAAACGGAAACCCGGAATGCCACAATCTGACACAAATCGTAATGTTTTTGTTTACCATCTATATAATTATTTATTTAGTTTCAAATTCTGTTATTATAATATACCCACACAGTATGATAACATTATCTCAATTATGAAATAATACATTTACACGACGACGATATTAATGTTAATAAATAAAATGTTTTATTTTTTTATCGACAAATTATAATAATTTATTTATATATATATAAATATACTATAAGTACCTAAAATAAAGAGTAATGCAGTATGAATAGTATGATATTTATGAACGTTTTATAATTTTTCAATCCCCTCCCCCGAAAATATTTTCCCGCGTTTGCCCCTTGTGAAAAAAAAAATATTTTCACAAGCGAGTATTTTTTTATCCACCTACCTTATTTGCGACGAACCAATCATGCCACATAAAATGGCCATGTGCATTTGCTATACGCACGAAGATTTGACGCCGGGTTTTCATCACTTTCTAAATATAATCGTATAAGTATGCGTAGACCCCTTAAAAAATGTCAGAGGCGGTTACCCCCTTCTTCTCCACGCCGCTGATTGGTATCCCCGGTATCTAAGACCGTGCGCCGGTGTCCGATATAGTACCCGCAATCAACACCGACGTCTATTCCCGCATGCACCTACCCACCGGTAGGTACACCGGGCTTGTTATCGATTACAATAATATACAACAATATCTGAGTCTGTAGGACCCATTAATACATTATTTTGTTTTGATATACTTATAAGCATCTACGGCTCGATAGTATTATTAGGTTATTAGTTTATTACCATTACATAATACGTGAATTATAAATATATGTAAAATATCTATTGAAATTCAGAACCGATTAAACCTCTATATTGAAATATAGAATTTGGTTCCTAAAAAAAAAAAAAATTGTATTAACAGTTCCGGTTAGAAGATTTTTAATAAAGGATTCGGTCCAACGCCGATCTTCTTCGGTGCTGTTCCAGTCTCTGTTAAAAGAAAAGTTTTCCATTAAAAATATGTAAACACAAGCTAATATTAAAAAAAAGTCGTGTGTTGACCGGTTGCCTTATTTTTCGGCATTTGAAAAAATGTACCATATTGCCCTCAACTAAATGCACCAGTTAACCACAGCTAAATGTATTGATTACGTTCAACCATAGAGTAATACAAAGCATTACACTATGCACTCAACGTATAAAATACAGTAAAACGGGACACAAAAAGAATAATTTTAAATTGTGTATTACTTAAAGTGCGACTAACTTCACTCACCAAATCGACTGTGACATACATAAATTACGATTAGTAAACAAAACGGGTATAGGTAACGGAAGGAAAACGAAATTTTTATCAGCCAAAAATATTGTTACGTAAAAAAACTACGTTCGTTTTTTGACTCATTACACCACTTATTATCAATAAAAATATTGTATTTATTATTTTATTAGGTATTTTTTTTTTTTTCATTATTTAACACGTCACATATGTTACATATTCACCTGCCCTATTATGCGCCAGGTGTATTATTTTGGTCAGGCATGTTATAATATTTTTAGGGCAACTGACAAATTCTACTTTAGGTAATTTGAGGGGAATTAGTATAAAAAAAAGTACTTTTGAGGGCCACTGGTACATGCCTGAAATTCTACTCCTAATCTATTCCTGTAAATACGCCACTATGCAGTTACAACTGTAAAACACATAATAAGATGCATACATTGTTAAAACATTTTATTATAACAATATTATTTATTAGGTATTTTGAAATTTCGTGGGATAATAATTATTACATAAGGAGAAACACTAGTACATTATAATTGCAGCTTTATTGCATCTCGGTATTTTTAGGGGTTATTTTATGAATAGATTCGCACAATCATTATACGGGTCATCAACTTGAGAAATTAAAAAAAAAAAAAAAACCCATCTACAGTAGTATCTATAGTGTATCTACTATTTGTGTTAATTACCTACATAATTACTTACTCGTTATTTCTCATGTATAGGTACTATCACGGTAAATTTTTACATAATGAAATAAGTCATTTTCTCTTTCTTTATTAAACGAACTCGTAATAAAAAGCCAAACACACTTCGTGCCGTGGGTAAGCCACTGTCGTTATGGTTGGGAAGTATAAGGATATATAGAATGAAGAATTGTTTTTAGTTTTTATACCGAAGGAAGAAACGATAAACCATTGCAATGAAAAAAAGATTCTGAGTAGAACCTCGAGCTCGTTAAATTGGTAAGGTTGTAATATTAGAAGGTTTTTTTCTGTTCTGGCCAATTTAACATAGAAATCAACAAAAATAAAACCAAAGTATAATTATGTACAGTTTTTTCTAGAAAAGACGTTGGGAATTTAGAAAAATTGAAGTTCAAATAAAGTGCAGTGGGTGAAAAATCAGCATCTTATAAGGTATGATATGATAATATCGGAGAATTTTTCTGAACAAAAAAATTTTTCCGTTAATAAAAATAATAAAGCATTTATTCTACATTTGGAATTAAAAAAAAAAAATAGAGCTTATATGGCTTATAGGAGTGCCACTATTGTAGGTGGAAAGTTGTGGGATATACAGGGTGATTTCTTACACTTTTACACACAAAGTACCTACCAAATAAAAATTACGTAGAAACTAGTAAAATTAAAATTTCTAAAAATAGAGACAATGTTTTGAAAATTTTACTATGCCGAGAGGAAAGCAGATATAAGTTTTCTGTCAAAATATCAAGTTTTTATGAATATTTCTAACTGAATAACATTAAAAAAATAAAATTTAAAATTATAAAATACTTATTTTCGTAAATTTGTCCATACTTTTTACGGATTTTTCGGTTTTACTCAATTATTTAAAAAACAAAATCAATAATCGACTTTTTTGATCACCAACAAAATTAAAAATGCAATAAAAAAGGTCTCTTGTCATTTTTCGATTGGAGTAATATTTCTGGTAGAAACCAACGTATCATAATTTTAAAATATTGTAATTGGTTAGGTTAAGTATTAATTAATAAGTAATAGTAATTATAGTAATTATAGTAATTTTTTATTTCTACATTTTTATTTTTATATTTACGAGTATAATAATTTGTTTTACTTTATTATTTCATTAAATATTTACCGTTTTACTTATAATTTTCTTACGGGTTTTTCTCAACAATTTTGAAAATCACTTATAAAATGCTCCGAATTTAGAAAAAAAAAAAAATAAAAACAAAAATATCATCGCCCCGCCGTATGTTTATACGGTTAGGTAATTCAACGTACACGAACACCGTTCTAGTGTTCTACCGGCTGTCAGTTTTGTACACACATTATTACTACCGGTGCAATAGAGGAATGGAAATAATATTATGTAAATTAACACAATTTGTTAGTCGTGAAGCCCGGTCCACACTAAGGCAACATATACCAACTTTTTAAATCGAAGCATGTTGATACAACAAAAGTTCCAATATATTTCCAGGAGTTACTAAATGTTTCATCAATAATTTGTTGCGAGCAACAAAAATGTCTCATTGTTTCATGTTTCGATTAAAAGCGAAACATGTTGCTTTCGTTTTATCAACATACTTAAAAAGTAAACTTTAAAAGTTGTTAAATGTTGCCCTAGTGTGGACCGGGCTTTAGACAGTGTGTTTAGTAGGTAGACATGATATTACGGTCAGAAACGTTTACTAGCAATATTCAAATACAAATATGAAACACACTGTCACAGACACACGGTCGCAAAGAGATGCTACGGAAATCAATCATTGGTTGTGCACGGTTGTGGTAACTGTCGGCCGTCGGTAATAATCGTTACCGATTGTTTACGTTATGTAATCGGCGTCACGGGGCGGAGGGGTTGGTTATCTGTGTCGGCCAGGTGTTTGGCGGCGCAGCATATTCAAGGCCGTGCTTGGAAGAAAAATGACAAAGATCGAAATGTCCGTGAAAAATAATTTCGACGAACGGTTTTTGGAAAAAAAAAACGGCCCCCGTTAATTTACTAATTGATAAAGAACGGCCGGCCAGAGACGGATTTGAATCGAAAACCGAGAGAAGCAACGTCGACGTCGCGTACATCAAACCGCACACGTTATCAAATCCTTATCAATTAATAGTCTTCGTTTGACCGGAGTTCGTGTGATACTTCCTTATCGTACGGCAACGGCACGTTCTCTAGTTTTCTCCGCTGCCACTCGCTGACCGCGGCTGTCTCGTCAGCTCTCGTTTTTGCTATTACTCGTATCAGTCTTACGACTGTCGTCCAAATCGTTCCTGTTTGAATTTCTGTGATCCGTTCATTTGTTTGTTTTTAGTTTTAATTTAATTATTTCAATTCGTTTTTGTTTGGTTTTATTTCTCTTGTATTTTATGATATTATAAAAACACACGCACACACACATACATACATAATATTCTGTACAATATTATAACTACAAGTATACTACTATACCTAACTACTTCAAACAATATAAATATATTACTAAGTGCTTAATGAAGTGATGGCCGTTTGCAGTTCAGTAGTAAAGACCATCGTGCCCGATTACAGTAATGGTGACTGTGTCGACAAATTGTGCAGTGAACATTATTGGCCTCCCAGAGATGAGAACAATCAAGTTTACAGACATTTGCCTCCGACCACAGACACCGTGCAGACCAAACCGTTTCCTATCAGAGGTAATAATTTTAATTTTAATTCTGTATTTTGTAGTATATATTTAGATTCTCAGCCTAATATATGCTATTATTAACTTCAAGTACCTACCTACATAGGGTTAATTTTAAATTTTATAAAATTAAGCAAAAGTTTGAATGTTAAGAATAAACCGAATTAGAGGTGGATTTAATAATATTAAACAATTTTAGAAGACTTAATCCAACATATAGCCCATCAACTTATATCTATCAATACTATCGTACCATTGGTTGATACAAACTAACTCGATTATGAGTTTTAGCGCTGGGATCGTTTTGCTGGGATTATATCTTTTAAAGGTTATTTAGCACTATTTAATATTTTGTAGAATATATTACCCAAGTGTGTAAAATAAATTAATTTGAGATTATAAATTAAAGACACCAAAACTTTAAAATCATTATAAAATTTAGTCAAGTTAATCATCAGAATATTAATGGCATAGTTAATAATATATCAAAATAAATTGAGCAAAGATTAGGGTAAACAATTATTTATACAATTTGATATGATAATAAAGTAGGTACTTGTTGATATTTTATAAATTATAAGAAGTAAATAGATGTACATATAACAATTGTTCAATTATCTTTGAGTTGAGATATATGTATATAATTTTTTTAATAAATTTTTCTTATAAAAAAATAATTGACTATTGAAAATGATTAGGATATTATAGCTATTTGTTTTATAACCAACATGATCTATATTTGTTAGGAGTTATCATATTATGTTATTATGTTTAGCAGGGATACAATTTCTAAACATTAAATGCATTTATTTATTTATTCTCAAGGTTAGGTAGATTTTAATTCCATTTTGTTTTTAAGAAACCAAAGAAAGTAATTTACACAATATAAATTAAAATAATTTTATCACTTACCTATTCAAATTTTGAATAATTTTTCTATTTTAAATTGGACATTTAATTAAATGATATTATTTTCTCTTATGCAATAGGCACTATATGACTACCTATGTTTACATGAAATTAATAAATTAGTGGGATTAACTATGGCTTAGTCGACAGCATTCATCATAATCATTGTTTTTGATTAGGTACCGTCCTCCATATTTTATATGTAGGCATAATACATAATATTTTTAAATTAAATTGTTTGTATTATGTGAGGTATTACCAGTGGTTAAGTGATTTTTAGTTAGAACAAATCTAAAAGAACGTGAAAAAAGTTTAAAATTAGGATTCATTAACTTCTTATGTAACCTCCAAAATTCAAACACCAGTTGACGGTTATAACTTCTTATTCACCCCATTTATGTGTGATTCTTATTATAATATTTAATAAGCACTTCCGCCACATACTAGACCTAGTGTTGACCTTATTCACAATGTTTTACATTTTCAGTGTGTGTAAACAAATTGTTAAGTATTTTGTTTTTCTTGGATTTTAAATAGTTAATAATGTTAATAGCTAGATACAAGGTACCTACATGAAACTATGCATATTAAAGTTGTATTGGTTTGATTTGTTTTTAGATTTTTCATTTTTTGTTTATCTCAGTAGAAAAGTAAATGTTATGTTTTTGATATGCGACCAAAGCAATTTAATAATTATTGATTTGAAACGTTAATGCCTTTTAAATTATTGATAGGTACTTATTTTAAATCACTTATCCAACTAACATATTTTGTAAATGTAATTTATTTATATATTTTATTTTATTTATTGACTATCAATTTTGATAATATTTTAAAAAGTAAACATTAAATATCAAAGTGCTAAGTACCAAATACTTATAATTTAAATAAACAATATTTAAAATTTATTTATAATACAAGACATACTTTATTATTATCATAATTAAATAATGGACATTATTTAAAATATGATTCTTTTTTTAGTATTGATATAAGTTAAGTTGTTAACTTCAAAATAATAAACAATACAAAATACTTAGGTATCTAGTAGTATGAGTTTAAATTTTTATGATTCTACTACAGATTATCTAATATCTTCAATAGGCTCTCACAATTTCCACAGAAACTCCTAGTTAACAATATACCTAATACCTAGATAGTTATATATACAAAAATAAATAGTTGGTATGCATTATACGGACACCTACCATGCAAATAAGTTTGCTATGACAATTTTAAAAGAAAAATTAATTTATTATAATTTATTATGATTACAATATTCACCTGTTCATAATTCGCAATTTATAAATTCGACTGCGAAATTAATAGTAATTTGCGTTCTAATATTTCTAAATTATGTACCCAATCGTTTTTGTTAACTAAGAATTGAAACAGCAGCATAATTTATTAATGTAGTACCTATTTAGTATAGGTACTTGGTATGCAAAAACGTCACTCGAGAGTATTTCCAGTCTATGTAACATAATATATCCTTATTTGCCGAGAATATACCATCACATTTACAAAAAAACACAAGGGTATAGAATAATAATTCATATTTTGGCATTTTGAATATAGTGTATATATTCAGTGGCGAACCGATAGGGTGGCATACCGGGCAATGATTCACGGGCCTATGATATTTAAGGGCTTAATGCATTATTTTGAATGGATGGATAGATAAAAAAACAGGCGACGACATTTTTTGCTTATTAAGTAATAGAAGGTGTGCAGACAGGTGTATGAAAACAGGCAATGTTCCCCTTTTTTTTCTTCCAATTTGAGTAAATTTATCATCAACTCGGATTGTGTATTTGCCCCTCCCCCAATTGGTTATTTTGCCACGTGCATTAGAAATTCTAGTTACGCCACTGTATGTATTTGTATATGTCTCAAATATATATATTTTTTTACTAATGTATTTAAAATGTTTAAAATATTTATTATTAGATTTTTAATAAATACTTGTGTGTTGAAGAGCGTTATATACGCGTGTGTTGTGTCATCCGAATTAACGAGGGCGATAGAGCAGAATAATTACGTTACTTAGAACATAAATTGGAGCGTTCAGGTCAAAATTAGAGTTCAAATATAGGTAACAACATTCAAAGAGGAGAATATTTCCGAGAGCTGGACGTATCTTTTTTTTTTTAAAGTCACGCGAAATGTTAATAGTCATATTAGTTTTAGTTATTTTAAATAGCTGTACATTTTTTTGTATAATATGACTAATTTTTAGAACAAAGATACCTGCAGTCCCTGAAAATATTCTCCTATCAAATTTTGTTACTTGTACTCAAACTGTAATTATTTCAACTTGACCACCACAATTTACTCGAAAATGTATATTATAACTTATAAGTAGTAAATAATGTGATTTTGCTATGTCGCCCGTTAGTTCGACGGAAACAGTCTGCAAATGCGGGTATTGCGTCTTCTAAAACAAAGTGTATTTGCAACCGACAATAATATTACGGAATTTATCGATATTTTCAACACGATAAATAACAAAAGTCATATTGTTACAGCAATAATTTGAAATAAACCTAGTTGCATAATATTATGGTTATCTTCTGATTCGGGGTGATCCTATACAGCGGTTACGCAAATAAAGGGAAGGTAACTCCTCTTAAATGTTAGTTAATATTTTACGTAATATATGTAGTCGCATAATTATTAGCATATAGCGATTTTCCAGTTGATTTCAGTAACCCTATTTTATTATAACGACGTTCAATAGATTATGAACGACGACGTGAGATTTAGTTTTTTCTGTGACTTTTTTATCTAAAAAATGTGTTGCTTTGATCATCAACACCATGGTTGATGTCAGGTGGACAATTTTTTTCAAGTTGGTGCTTGAGGAAGTCAATTTTTGATTTCTCCTGTAGTTTTCTTGATAGTTAGAACAATTTACGCAATAACGGTTTCTGATATTTTCGATTTTAATTTTACGTTATTGTTTTAGTTCAGTTAAAACAATCGTATAGAGACATTAAATGTTCACATAATACATATTATATTATTATTCCGTATATTAAGCCGGAAATTAACGAGTTAGAAAGTTACTTTTTAAGTAGCTTCATAAGTTAACTAGTTGGTTTTAATTCATATTAACATTGTAACTCAACGAGTTGAATTTAATATGTAAAATAATCTAATCTAAATCTTTAAAAACAATAAAAAACTAGTAATTTTTGTATTTTTTTTTTTTAAATTTCAAAAATCCAAATTTTCCGTAAAACTGCCGGAGGCCGCCGACCATTAGTACCTATAGCCGTGATACTAATTTATGAATAAGGAATATTGAGTATTTTCCTAGGGTTAGGTAGTTCGTCAGTGAATCGGGAGTTGTTGATTCGTGATAAAGAGAATTGTTTAATTTAATGCATTGGGAACTTAGAGTGAACTGAGTCAAGTGAACTGATACGTGGCATTGAGTTGAAAATCCCATCCCTAGTATTTTAAATTTTATGATAAAAACATTTTGCTTGTTATATTATTTCTTATCAATTCTTTATATCAGTTGTACTTTCTAATAATATGCTGTAACCACGACGCATATAGTGTGGCTGATAGATAAATAGATTAAATAGATATTTAGGTAAATAATATCTATAGTGGTGGTTTAAACCGTATGCAGACGAAAGCGGTGGCGGTAAATTCGGCGAATTTTAGTAGTGGTGTATTGGAGTTATCGGCGGCAGTGTTGCCAGGGCTAGGGTTTTTCCCTACTTTGGGAATTTTCCAAACTTGTTTTTCTCGTAGAAAATATTGGGGATTTGTCAATTGTTGGGGAAAAATTGTAGGTTTTGGTAGGACATCCAATTACTTAATTAATGTAAAAAAAAAAATACATTATGATTTTTGTTATCACTCATCCAAATCTGAATATTCAAGATTAAAATCTTAAATTATATTCGTCCTTAGTATACGATATAATAGCGTTTTCCATATGTGTGCACTGTTGAACCTAGAGCGAGCAATTGATATTGCCCAAAAAATTGCTTAGTGCAGTCGAATAATGAATCACTCAAAACACAATTTTTACAGTTATCAATTACTTTATCTTTGATCATAATTTATGATTTAACATACATTACGATTTACGAAACAACTAAACTGGTTACAATTATTCCATTATCAGTCGAATGGCAATTATCTGTAGGTACACTCGTAGACGATAAATTTAAAATCCCTGATTTTCGTTTATTTTGCAATAACAGTTAATAATAATACAATATAATGTTAGGTAACTATTTTGTATTTCTGTTAAAAAAATAATAAAAATTATTATCTGTGATAATGAAATAGATTATTGTTCATTTACAATAAATTTGTTATTAGTTATTATTTTAGATGAGTATTACGTTAAAAAACATTAAGGACTGAACGAAGCGATATTAAGGAAGGATTACCTATCTACGATCTACCTATCTATTTAAAACATTTGATCAAATTATCAGTTGTTCAATTTAATTTTTCAATCATCACAAATAATTTAAGTTAGTTACCTAAATAATAATTGATTTATGTACTACTTTACATTTGAATAAACGAATTTTAAATATATATTTAAAAAAAAAAATAACTTCTAACTTATATTTTAATTTAAGTAATTATTTTCTCCTAACAAACTTCTAACTAATTTTGAAATTTGGAAAATTTCTGAAACTAACTTATATTCTAATTTAGTTTTTATATTTACATAACTTAACTTTAACAGCTTTGATTAGTCCTTTCCAGGCGTGGTTTAAAGTTTCGGGTGGTTCGTGAGCTATTTGCAGTCATTTGAAATTATTGGATTTTTTTTGGTTTTATGCTGGTAAAATCGTTTTAGCCCAGTAAAACTGTTCGATTATTACTAGGTTTATCATAATTTGTGTTTAGCGGTAAAACAAGCGTAATGTTGTAATTTTTCTAAGGAAGTTCAAATTGTTATGAAAATCGTTACATTTTACATCATGTTTAACCGAACCCTGTTCAGAAAAGTTTTTCGTTACTAATAATTTTATTTTTCTTCCCATATAATGTAATGTTAAATAATGAACCGCGGTTTCAATGTCTTCGTTGGCTATTATTGAAACTTAAGTGAATTTTGTGCGTTTAACAAATTATGGGCAGTCCGCAATGGCATGTTGTTAATCGAATATCTACCCACGTGTCGCGGTTTCTTTAATGATAGCACGTGCTTATTAATAATTCGTTAACAAGAGTTGTACCAGTATTTATTAGTTTGATAATATCGGTGTGTAAAATAACAAAAAAGAACAACAACAATTTTAAGAAGGAAATACTTACATAATAATTGAATTTAATCGTTTATTTAGTAGAATGAAATTTAGCTATAATAAACGTTTTGTTTTGTTTTTACTTAGACACACTCGAATTACGATAATATGTTTAAATTTAATTTTTGTGTGGATAGGTCTTGGAGTGTATTTAAGCATTTGCTGTAAAAATTTAAATAATTTAATCAGTTTTCTACAAAACTAGAAATCCAGATCTATATAATATAATATATACACCAGCCTTTTTGCATTTAATTAAAATCATGAGTTATTTTTTTTGAAAATTAAATTTTTCATGACAGTTTCGATTAGGTATATGGAACAAATTTAATGTTATTTCTAATTTACATCAAAATAAAGACTATGCACTTGACGGGTTGACTTTAAAATAATAAACTATTTAACGAATACCTTTTTCGATGTACCTTGGGTTCTGAACAATAGGTACCTATAGTCTACAATGCAAATAATTACTCCGTTTTGTTAGTTTTTTGTATTTTTGTAAACATTTTTCTTTTTTTGTTTATGTAATTTTATTTTTAATCATAATTAAAACACGATAGGCAGTTATGCCTATCTAATGATTAATGACTAGTGAATTCATTTAACACATCGCATATTCAGTGGTGCACACAAAATGGGGGTGGGTCCGATCTCCTCCCCCCCGAAATTTCATCCTTCACTGCATTTTTTAAATCAAGTTTTACATTCAGCAACATACTATCTTATACAGTTATACCACAGCATAAAATAATAGTGATAATATTGATAATATGTGCTATCCCTTCCCGGAAATTATTATAAACAAAACCCATCCCGAAAAAAAACCTTGTCTGCGCTACTGCGTATATTTATTTATTAAAAATAGACAATTGTATTTAGAAAAAAATTTGTTAAAACAATTAAAGAAATGATAATTTATAAGTTATAAGTTCTAAAACAAAACTAGATATTTCAAAGTTGTGAAGATGTATTTGAAATCTTGTTCACGATTTTTAGCATTAAATTAATATTATATTGATTTTGATCGGTCCTTATTTGTTGAACTTTTTAATTTTAGATTTCTCACCCATTAATTTTATTCATTACCATAAGAAAGTAATTTTAGTCAAGTATAGATAGTGCTTTTAGTTGTGTGCTTGTGTTTTTACAACTTTTCTATCAGAAATCTTGCTACAGTAAAAAAAATTGTTACAGCTTCTCAAACATGCTTGTAAATTTGATATAAAGTTCATTGTCACTTTATTCATACGCTTTTAAAGTTGAAATGTTAAAGATTTATCATTTACGTGAATAAACTTTCATGAATGTTATGGTAAATATTGTAATTAAAAATAAAATCTTACTTACGATTTTTTTCTCTCTGTTTTATATTTATCAACTTTTATCAATATTTATTGACCTACCAAATTATAGTGGAAACCTATTTTTTAAAAAACAAAAACCCGATGCATTTTATTATGACATTCGAGTTGCATATTATTCAACGCTATAACGATTTTTTAGTATTTTAGTATTTAAAATATTAAATACGTAGTTTCCATCAAGGTCATCTATAATATAGATACTAAGAGTAAACTAACCTTAACTAATAAATACATAAATACTACTAAAATACTAAATAGAGTATGGATCAAATCATATTATGAATGACATTGATTTTGATATTTCTTCCTTATATTTATTAGGTTTAATGCATATTATCTATTATAAATTTATAGATATATGTATACTCTAATATATTATGTATTTCTATACATACATATATTATTTATTTATCAAAATATTTTTATCGTTGTCCTATCCATGTTTCCATCGGATTCAACTTATTTGTCACTTGAATTTTATATAAAAACAAATAAAACGCATATTATTTCGACTATCAACCATTCGATGAAGTCCATAAATATTTTAATTGAAGGTTTCATACCAGTTAGGTATAGTCGACTGTTTACATTAACATTATTATATTATGAACGACGAGCAGAATTCCTTTTCGATGTCGTATGACGTAAAGAAAAAAAAAAAAAAAAAAATAACAACAATTTCGTGACTAACCAGCAGCACGTGTTATAAAATATCTCCACGTGCGTGTATGCGATTTAATCGAACATTTTTAACTATACCGTACATACCTAGTACGTTTTGAATGAAATTTTTATTTATGAATGAACAAACATACATAATTAATTTTTAAACCTAAATAATCATTGTATACTTTTTCATGATTTGAACTTTTGCGGGTATCCGTATAAACGTTAATTATAATATAATTTTATTTAAATTATTATTGTATTTCAAATGGAACGAAAAATCATGGCGATTTTATTAAACATCGAATTCTAGATACTTATTTCTTAAAATATCCTAACAAATTGTTACTAAATTAACTTCGGTTGATTGAAAATGCAATTTTTCCTAAAAAAAATAAATAGGTTTCTTAATGAGCATAAGAAATATAGAAATTATATCGCACTATTTGAACGGAAATGTGACTAAATTCAAAAAAGTTTGATTTATATCACTTTCCTATCGTGAAAATGTAGTTCTTTACGATACACTGCCGTATTTTCTCGTATCTACAGTATTAAACAAGTTAACGAGAAAATTTTATCTCAAAATAATACACTATATTGAATTACAATTAATTTAATTAGTGCTTTATTCCACTACACTGGTACATACATAAAAAAAAAAATTAAAATAATTCATCAGATAATTCAACTTTTAGATGCTGAGAAAACGATTTTATTATGATGTTTTTTAATTTTTTTTCTTGTGTGTCTGTAAACAACCACAAAAGAAATCTTGCTCCAATCAAAGACTTTTTAGGAACTTTCTTGTAGCACTTTTGATCTAGTTAATGCATTGAAGAATTCATTTTTTGGTTTTCTTAATAAGTGGAATAACCTGGCAATTTTTGTTGATTTCTGGGTAACCTTGACAATGAGAAAAAAGTACCAAATAATACTCAGCTCAGAATAGTTTTTCGTCAGTTATGGTTTGTCATTGGTATACATTAAATTACCTTCTACTAAAACAGTGGTACACCTATAAATTCGTTTTTCTAAAAACTTTGGTTTTTGAGGTACTATATCATTCTATTAAGTACGATGTATTTCTAGGTAAATTTCACATTCATATAGATATATGAATATCTATATTGACGCATATGCAGTTGTGTTTTAATTATTTTACGAATCAAACAATTAGTATTTTTATAAACGCAATACTGTGTAATTTATGTAATAATTACGCGTTGTTCGTTATTTTTTTTTTTGTAGTATTTTTAATATTTAGAATATGTATGTATATACATTTTGTTTATACACGTATTATTATAATCTTTTTATACATATATGTAAGATTAATATTTTACTTTAAACTCTCCTATTGTCTGTGTACGAATAATATTCGTTTCGTTTAGCGACTTTTTAAAAATATTAAAGTTTTGTATAATAATTATTTATTAGAGACCGGATTTGTATATTCTCTTATAATCTACAAAAAGGCGCTTAAAAACGTCAGTAAAGCATTTAAAACCGTGAAAATGATAGAGGGGTTTAAAAGTCCCCCCCTCTTTTAATGAGTATAACTTATTAAGTTAAATTTCTTAACATTACTTAAATGATTAACACAAAATTATTTATTCTAAATAAAATCGTACGTATTATTAGAAAAAATTATTTTTTATTAAATTTTGTGGTGTAAGAATATTGTAATATAAGTTAAATCCATCAGAAAGGGACTTTTAACCCTCTATTATTTTTGATTTTTTTAATATTTTTTAAGAGCTTTTTTCAAGGCTTGTTTTAACGTTTTCAAGTGCTGTTTTGTGGATTTTAAGAACATAAATCCGGTATTTAAATTAATACTATTATCTTCGACGGGATTTGTCGCCGTACTGGCCATTATATTATTATTTTTTTTTTTTATAGAAAGCTCGCGTATTTATATGGTCTACTATACATGTGCTACTATACATACTGTGCGCTCGTTTTACAATATCTACTAATTAAAAAAAATGTTCATTTGCAGACAACTAAACACACATGCACACACACACAACACATACATATTATATATTGTATAAATGTCACCGATAACCTTCGCGTTGTGATAATAATATACCTATATATTATACAGGGTATTTCGTCATATTAATGTATATTGTTTATAATATATTGTCGTGTTATATTCGAAAAAGGTATACACTTCCTTTGCCTACCTATTCGTATTATATACAGTATTCATATAATATAGAAATTCTCACGCGGTTATACTAATAGAAATAATTTACAAGGTGATTATTTTTATCGTTTCAATATGCATATTTTAGCTAGTAAAATTTTCACCGCGAAAACGTGCACATTTCGTATTGATTTCGCGAGTTACCCATTCATTTTCACTTCTATTATTATCGAATATATGGTTTATACAAAGCAGGCGCGGTCTTATTTCATACTATTATTGTTTGGGTATTCTTGAATTATATATACTTTTAGATTCTGAGCAGAGCGAGGAATGTATTGGTTTTACAATCATTTTTTATTCCTGTAAACAACTACCAGCAATTTTGCTTCGATTTTGAAGTACTGCACTTTTTCTGAAAGGAAATCTGTCTGGGGTGGTATTTTATGAAGTTAAATTATTTTCCAATTGTTTTCATAATAAATGGAAAAAAACCGGGTAAAATTATGGGAAAAGGTCGTTTTTTGTTAGTAATAGTTAATCGTTGAGTACAGATTTACATTGAATTTTCCCTCTATTATCTTCCCAACTTCTCACCTATAACAGTGGCCCACCCACGTGCAAAGTATGTCAGTCTTTCTTTTTTTTTTTGTAAATCGGTTAATGATAATCGTAGAGAAACCGGATTTTATCGCATAAAGAATATAATATAATTTATCAGAATATGTTCTGTGGCTAATATTATTGTACTTAATTATATAGTATACTATAATATAAGTTAACCAATATTAGTCCTTACTCCTTTTAAGATGTGATAAAAAAAAAAATTTGTGTCGATTTTTGAGCTATTTATGGCGATTTGAAATGATCGTCCGACTTTTTTTCGTCTGACGATTATCCTCGAAAATTTATTACGGGGTTCTTCATTGATTTCAATTGTAGTGGTAAAAAAAAACATACGAACTCAATGTTATCATTTTTTTTAGGCGTTTTAAGTTTAAATTTGAATGGAAATCGTAAAAGTCGTAGGTACATTTAAATGTTTAGATATTGGAAATATGAAAATTATAATGTGCTATATATCGTAAAATTTCAAAGTTTACTGTAGTACTATTTCTAATACTTAAACTGATCTAACCTATAACCTAACGATTGGTACCAATATATGTATAATACATTGTATGTCAGTGGTGGATTTACCGGATGAGAAGGTTCAAGAAGTCTAGATAGACTCCTCCCCAGACAGTGATATAATTTCAAAAATATGTCGTCTAAAAATAGGCATCTATTAATATATCTTCTCAGGATCCCTCCTAGAATGTTGAAAATCCGCCAATGATGTATGCGATATCTATGTATGTCAAAAAATGACATGAATATGAGTCTGCCATCTACCTAACCTTGCAGTATACTATTAAGTTATACTACGAGAGTGAGATTCAGTTCAAGGGCGTTGACCGGACGATGAATTCTTGTATATTATATTTTGTGCGCAAAAAAACAACAAAACAAATCAACCTTATATACTATATACGAGTAATAGCTACCCGTTATACGTAGAGATGTGTGAGCTCCACAAATTTCTTATTGACCGAAATTGTCTGTAGGAAATTTAATACAATTTAGATTTTTACGCACATTTTTAAAATAAATATTTAATTTTGGATGTTGAGGTCCAACTTTTATTTATATTCTCTATTGTATTGTTTTTAGAGTTAGTTAATTTAGCTAATTTTTAGTTAATTAGTTATTCAAAAGCCTAAGATTTAATTTATCGGTTTAATGGCGTTAAAGTATTACGTATATAATTGAACACATTTTTGGATTTTTAAATTTCCTCTCCTCATCCTCTTGTCAGCAAACAATAGACGCGCCCATATAAGAAAACCCCCGAAATTCAATAAAACATGATCATTATTATTTGTTTACGTTTTTTTTGAAGAAACGAAACGGCAGCGAATAAGGACTGTTTACGTTAGCATAATGCATCCCCGTCTTCTTTTCTCAGCACACGACTGAGTACTCCTTAATACAAAATAAAAGTATTCTTCGCTTCTTTCAGAACCTAAAACAAAAAATATACATTTATATATTTCAGTTGCTGTAACGCGATACATATATTATTAACTCGATAGTTATTTGAGAAATTAAACCAATTCTATGCAATTTCAAATCATTACGTATATAATATTATATATACAGGGATTTTTCAATTGTTCCATCAACGTTTATTTACGTAGATTTTTGATATGATTTTCAGTCATCATAGAATCGTTTAACGATATATTATTTACATTATTTTCAAAATGTTACCTTTATTCGGTATTCCTAACCTTCCGTACCACTAAAAACACATATCAACTTTTGATTTTAAAATCTCTCTTTCCCATTTGAATACGAATTCGAAAGTGAATATTTTAGTTTTTTTTACATATATTATTTAACTGTAGTTAAAGCTTATTACTCTTAAATTTAATGGTGAAACTATTAAATCGAACGGAAATCAGTTACTTACTTGAAGTCCTCCTAAAAAGATCAATGGCTGAAGCCAAGGGTGAAAAAAGTGGACATTTTGATACGGGTAGAATATTTGGTTTAAGTGATTTTGTTTTATTAGTTGCTAGTCAAAATAATATTAAGTGGTTACGGACACGCCATGCTAATTGACGAAACATGCAAAATTAGAACAGCAATCCAATGGATATCAGAGGTAAAACGTAAAAACGGTAGTCGGACGGAATACAGTAATAATTATATGTACAGAGGTCGAAAGTGATATATTGGGACGACTAAAATCCATACAGATTTGTGAGGCCACACATTGTACGGCGACGATAGTGAAAAATAATAATGAACAATTTAAGACTGTATTTATAATGAAATAAATATAAAATCGTATAGGATTTTTTTATTCGGGGAGGGGGCCATGACTGTTCCGGATAAAACCTTATGGAGAACATTAAAAAAAGAGCGGCAAAATGTTCTCGCACGCGAGAAAATCGCCGGGCGATAAAAGAATCACTCTGTATAATATTATAATATACGCGAACATTGCGGACGAATGAAAAACAATAATAAAATAAGGGCATTCACTTAATAATAATACTATGTAATTCGAGTGTAAAATATGAATGATAATGCATCACGAAGCGAACCCGTATCTATACCTGTAAAAAATTGCATGCACGTATAAATAGGTATACAAACACGCGGTGGTGCGCGCGCATCCGGTTGCGGGCCACGCGTTTAGCGCACGGCGGCGACGGATGCGCCGTAGGTATTGGTGGACCTGTTCGGCGGCGGTTTTTACTTCGTTCGTCGCCGCGGCCGCCGCAGTCTCTGTCAGCCATGGACGTCGGTCCCAAGTCTGAGTATCTGCACGACAGCGCCCATCAGTTCGTGCCGTTGGGCTTTAGGCACCTCAATAAAGAAACGTGGGTCGTGTCCAAAAGCCTCGAACGGGGTGAGTATGTTATATTATACACTATACGCCTGCCTATACTTGCCGCGTTTGTATACCCGCCCCTGCAGAGTGATAGGGGAACAGTGAAGTGTTATTTTTGTCCGCAATAAGCGGTCGCAGTAAAATGGCGAGAAAATCTAGCAACGACCCGGGCCCAGAAGATAACTGTAAGGCTACAGCAAGACGTTCCTTAACATAATATCTAACGACAACGTCCTCCTCTCTCTCTCCCACACCCGATTGATAGACCTGCGTTTTTTTTTTTATACTCCTAATTTTCGCAGAATTCGTTCATAAATTCTTTGGATTTCGTCGCGTAAAAAAAAAAAAAAAACGTTCGATTAGGTTTTCCGAGGTGCTATAACGAGAAAACGGCGGTTTTTGGCGTCGTCGGCTTCGACAACCTTTTTGTTAGGTCACCATATAGTCTTTTGAACTTATATAATAATAATAATATTTATATATAATTAATAATAATGTAAGTCTTATAGAAGTAATAGCCAAAGTCTTATAGAACTATAGCCGGTCGAGTGAATTAAGCCCCTACCCCCCCCCCCCCTTGTGATGCGTTCCGACAACGGTCTTTCGAGATTATTCCTCGTGCAGTACTCTCGGTTATCTTATCAAATCAAATATTATTATAGGTACTCGAAACGATTTTTTTTCTCGCATTAATCAATTTATGTGTCTACGCCTTTTTTTATATACATATAATTGTTGTCGCGATTATATTGCTTGTTGCTCTCGTTCACGGCCCGCGTACTCACTTAATACATATTATTATTATTATGGTATATTTCAACTCGTCAGTGTTATTGAAATTTTCGATATTAGGTATGTTTTATCTTGGTAGTAGCGGAAAAGTATCGTGTAAAACAGATTCTTAATTGCTCTCGGTTCAAACATGAATAATAATTTAAAAAAAAAATAAATATTTTTATCCGTTTTAATTCAATTTGGGATAAATTACGTTGTTGTACCTACACGCGTATTATATTTTACGTTGTTTTACCGTGAACAAATATTAATAATTATGTTGTAACATTGTGATTTTTAATAGATAATAGTATACTATTATGAATAAAAATAGGTATGACGAAACATTATGAAATACAATCGAACCCTGTGTACCTATACATATAACTATATAAACTATATAATTCAAGTTGTGTTACATATTATAGTTATCGGATGGAATAGTAGTTCGAACATTTCAATTCGGTATTTTCCCATGAAAATAAAAACATAACCTATCATATTTTCATTTGAGGACCTCCGTTTAGTGCAAAGTAATAGTTTTAATGCGTTTTAATTATGTTTACCCGCATTATAAAAATAGAAAATAGAATTATCAGCCGGTGGTGCAAGTGCTAACTTTGTACAAGTCAATAATTTACAATACTGTATTTATTTAAAACGAAACCACATTGAGATCTGCACAATATTAAATTAACTTGAGTTTTCATTAAATTTTCTTCGGCCGATATAATATTTTTATTAATATCTTGGTGATCTTCGCCGGTCGAATCAATAGACAACTAAAATTCTAAATTCTCGATTACTTGAACAAAATACCAATACAATATATATGTATGAATATGTTTTATTATTCAAGTTATCAAAATTAATTACTAATTAGGTAGTAGAGGTACTAAATCGTATCTGTACATTTTAAGAGACCTACTATTATAATATAAGGTAATTTATATGAGTTGCATTCGAGAATTAATTCAAATTCGTGTGACTCAACCGTGCATACTATAATAATACATATTAATCTAATCACATATTATAACTTCAAGTATATACAATTAAAATATTGTTTTTTGTTTGAACGCAAGTGACAAATATAATTTAAGTAAGTGCGGTAAAGAAAACTGGTAGATCGTTTCCATATTTCGCGTGTTTCATATACACAAAATGTATATACAATCCGTTCGAGCTTATCGATCGAATTTTGATAATTTCAAGTAAGTTACTGGGGCTGCGCTTTATAAACTATAATAATGCGTAATCGGTAGAAAAAAATAAATATACATTCCTCACTGTGTTATAGAAATCCGAAACGGTTTATTCGAATAATATTAAATATACAAGTTTTAGACTTTTTAGATAATCGAACTATAGGAAAAGCGATTGAAATGTTAAATTTTTTTTCCTTTTTCAAAATGGCGATTTAACATCAGTATATTTCAGGGTTGGTAACAGCATACGCATATAAAACGTTTTATACGTTACACGTATAAAATTACTAAAACGAATACAACTTTATAATGACAGACAAGGAATTCTACATTTTTTTTTTTTCCGAAATCTATAATTATTATAATAGTGATAATATTGTACATTTTAAATTTTAATAAGTATAAACTTATAAATTGATATAACATATTAATAAATAACATTAACTTAGTGGATTTTCTAAAATTAAAAAAAAAAAATTTATATTTTTTATTATAAATATCAATGTAGTTATTAATAAGGAATAAAGATGCGAACTTAGTAATTAATATAACAAATTATCACATATTATATATTAGGTAATCTATATAAGATAATATATTAGATAATAGATTAAATGTCGTGGTTATCATTTATTAATATCAATTGACAATTATTATATCTGAAAATTGCTGTTCAGTGCAGTCATAAACGGCATAAACAAAATTTGTATAAAGTTTAAATCGTATTGAATTATTATAGGTAGTATTATTATTGTACGTTTTATACGTGTTTTTTTTTTCACTGTATTATACGTTCTAACTCTGGTATATTTGGATATAAATATAATTAAGATTATTAATTCGAGTTAAGTTAATGTAAATAATATATCACAACATAGCAATGCACTCTAGATAGAACAATATTAATAATAATGAACAAATTATGTATAAAACGTCATCATCCATTTAGGTATACCTGCGTCACGAGTATTTATTGTTGTTATTATTATTATTATTAATGTTAATTTATTATTATAGTCGGTAATAAGCGAAATTTCAATTGCGCAGTTCTTCTTTATTTTTCGTACACAGAGCGATTTTTTTTATTAACTTTTAGGTAACCTGTAAGTATTGTACCTGTATAATATTATCATCTAATATTTATTATTATCTAATAATAATTAGATAATCTGATAATATTTATCTAAATATTATCTATATCTAATTTCTTTTTATACTTAACTCGTAAAATTTCTCTACAAATTTCGGTTAGATTAAAAAATTAATAAACCTTTGTAGTTGAGTGCACATTATAATATTAAATTATTATCAATGTGTTAATAATTCGTAGATAATTATAATTGCGCCTATACTCGCCATGTTTTAAAAGTTAAAACTATTGATATTATTCAAAGTTTCTATGTGAAAATTTATTTTTCAATAATGCTTGTTATAAATGTTATTATCTGTGAACTATAATAACTATTAGTTTTGAGTTAAAATTAAAAATTGTTCATAATAATAAAAAAAAAAAATTATGTAAATATACCTGTAATAGTAACAAAACTGATTTATATTTACGTTTTATTAGAATTTATTTTCTTGATTGTATTATTATACATGCGTTCTGTTTGTACGGGTTCGATAAATTTAAATTGCGGGTTACGAGTAATGTATGGTACAATAATTACACATTTAATACGGAGATATTTTAAATTAGTTTTTTTTTTTTTATGAATGATGATAATATTTGTATGTGATAAACGATGATTGATAACATATATATATATATACATATTTTTATAAACAAAAAATAATTATCTAATAATATTTTGATTATTTACTTTTTATATATTATTGTATTCGTCAATTTGATAAATTGCATATAATTATTAATTGGGTATCTTTGTTGTTTTTTTTTTCTGAATGAATTAATAAATTATTTTAAAATACGTTTTACACAATAATTGTAGCCGTATGTATTATCAATTATAAAATGAAATGCTAATTTTGTAATTTCTTTAAAATTAGACCCGGAATTTAAATAATAATTAAAGCCCCTTGAAAATAATTATCTTATCTAAGCACAAATTGTTGCCTTATAATGTTGAGGTATTTTGACTATAATACAGTTATATATTTATTGTAACATTTACTCTTTAAACATTTTTTATATCGACCAAATAATTCTTAATTTTATTAATCAATCCATTTCATTAGTTTATTAATAATACAGATATTTTATAAACGTTAAACTTTGTTGAAACTAAAATATACTATATTTTTAATAATATGCACCAAAATATATTATGTACATGTGTAGAACTACAAAAATAATTCGAAATTTAATATATAGTTTAATTTTTAATTTTAAATAAAGCATAAAAAAATTTAGAAAATTCCTTTTTTTTCGCGAAATTGTAGCTAAAATTTCCCCGAATGGAAGAAAATGTCTTATGCTATAGTATAATAAACGCTTTAAATGACTATGCGGACGAAAATTTCGCTGGGACAAAATTTGTTTTTCATTTTTTCATTTTGGTTTGGTTTGACTTTCGTTATCTTATTTGACATTTTTATAATTAATGTATTCAAATGCCACTCACCGCAATGAGCTTTTATTTCTAATTTGACCTTTTTCTATAATTTCTTAATTAATAACAGTAGACGATTTAGCGTAATTTTGGGAAGTGCGTAATATATCTACGTATTACGGTAACTTCATCGTTCATAAATTATCTAAAAAAACGGGTGGTTTCAACTATCTATTTACTTTGGTAAGTTTAATGTATTATGATTTTTTTTGTAATTTTGTTTTTTATGTTCCCGCACAACTTATATTGAATATATTTAGATTTAGTTTGATAAAACTTTTGGCTTTTGCAGGAAAACTAAGGTGGGTTTTTTCCTTTCGACATTTTTTAAATCTTATATACACAACAAGGCGAGCTTTATAAACGCATAGAATCACAATTAAAAATCCGATAAAAACAATTAAATGAATAACTCATTAATAAATATATTAAATTGTTATTGTGGTATTTACTATACCGTGATTATTAATTTCGTATCTAATAATGTTTGTTTTATGTTCACCTTTCTCTCCTGCAGTCTCAATTTGAATAATATTTTCATTTGACTATATAATATATTCATAGATAATAATTATTTCATTATCCATGCATACATTTATACACACCTACAATAATAATAAGAATAATAATAATAATAATAATAATATAATATTGTATCATCAGTATATGACTTTTGTACTATATTATGCTTCAGCTTTTATATTGTAATCTAAGAAATAATAACAGTATTATATTACTATTACGATTAAGTTAATTTACGATTTTTATTTTAAAAGACTTAAAAATCGATTAATATAATAAATCACTAGATAAGCCTGTATCCTGTTAGGTATATTAATAGGTACTTTATAATTTGATACCGTACGCACTAATATTGTCATTGAACAGTATAGTTTTGTTTAAACCATATAATAGGTACCTCGTTGTCCTAAGAACGATTGTGACGAGTATACAATAGGTAAATGTTATTTTTTTTTAATTTTGTTAAATTGTATACGAGATTTAACAAATCTTATGACATTAAATTGTAATATCTTCTTGAACTTTCCAACTTCCAACGTTTGATATTCAACGTTCCGGACTTCCGAATATTAATTGCATTTAATTGAGATGAGTCGCCATCATCTACCTCAACCTACAGGTTTTTAACATTTTTTTTTTTGTTTTTTCAATGTTTTTTTTTTTTTTTTATTTTAATTTATTGTATCGTAAATCAAAGGTATGTCAAGAGTTAGTTGGTTTATATGTTTGGCATGACGAGGGGCATCGTGTGTGTGTTGAAAGAAAGAGAAGTAGAGAAAACCCAAAGAAAATAATATCTTTTTTGACTTATAATAAAATATATTGTATACACAGGTGACGTGAAAGATCGTTGTAAGTGCGAGAGATCGAGGACTAAGGTCGACATGAGCGTTTTGAAATCAAATTTAAACGAAAATTGCAAACAAATTACGGCACTTTAAATTATGTATTACCGAACTGCGCTCGGAATCTTCTTTCGTCAAGCAATGGATTATCTTTGCTTACAGATATAAATGGAATAACCTTATGTATTCTTTCTTCCCAAATGTTCACCTATAACAGTGGTCACTCCCATCCCCAGTATCAACTCTTTATTTTTAATCTGTATATATACTTGGTATTGATGAAACATATACTGCATAATAATAGATATTATTATGGATAATAGATATTACAAATTGGTTTGTGATTAAAATGTTCACATTCTTATCTGTCGTGTATAATATTATTATTCGCAAAACCATTTATAAATATGTATTTACGTATATTATAATAAATGGTAACAGTAATAAGTAAGTAAACAGTAAGTTTTTCTTCTGGCTGTTACATAGTTTTGTGTCATACAATTTGACGTGGAAAAAACGTGTAAGGCGCCACCCATAGATATGCGCAATTTTTGGGAAACATATTATATGACCACATTTTTAATCATTTACTCGTCTCGTTACATTATAATTTTTTTTGGTTATTTGATGATTTCTCTCCGAAACAACGCATTTAGACGTATACGTTAAGTTACTCGAAAATCTTGAAAATCGAATCTTCAAATACTTGCATTATAATTAGTATTTGAAAATTTCACGAAATAAAAAATTTGGAAATAGTTCAGAAAAAAATCAGTGGAATATTTTAATGTTTTATTTTTTAATTTTACTTAACCTACATTTGTTATAAGTAATATATTATTTTCTTTAGTATTTTAAATTTATAAAGGTATTTACATTTTTTTATATTGACAGAAAACATACACAAATGTTTAAATGATACAATATCATATTATACAGAACATACACTTAACAATAAAATTCTACATAATTAAATTTTTGAGTGAAAATAAAATGGGTATTGGAATATTTCCTATAATATATTGCATATGCTAATATATTACCTATTTTAGTATAATACTTTTATTTCTTTAAAGTTCTATACATATGATAGGGATGCATGTAATCAATTTTTAAATAGGAATACGGAATATAGTTTAGTTAAATATATTTACCTATTAACTATAGACTATAGCCTATAAGTAATTAAATATTAATACTTACATTATAGATAAACAGTCAAAAACAAGACCGTAAAAATAAAAGTTCAATGTTTTACGTTTTTATGAAATATTTCAGACTTCAAACATTAAATTTTTAATGTAATATGCACACTGTAACGATTTAATGGTATAATGTCGCAATCGGAATTCTATAATACATATTACTTAATGAGTGATTTTTTGGAAAAATAGTTTATTAATCAAAACAATTTATTAAAATCAAAGTATAATGTCCAAAACGACTTTTATAATAGACGCGTGTTATTAGTGTGTACCGTTGGTTATATGTAATGAATGTTTTGAATGAATTGCGTTTATTTTAGGAACAATAGATTAAGGTGCATCGGCGGATGTAATAATAATATTATTAACCTATTGACCTATAGGTATTTTTACCTTTATTGAACTATAACGACATAAAATGACAATTATTACGGATGTATTTTAAATTTGGACTTTTTAGATTTTGACCGTAGTTGAAAACTTATATTGGTTTTACTATGATGCATGTGCTTTTTTTTATTACTATTTTTTGCCTGTGACAACAACTTATTTACCAAACATCTTGCTCCGATCTTGAACAAATTGAGCGGTGTTGTTTTCTGGTATCTAATTTTTAAACATTTATCTTCATCATACCGAACAATTAGTTTACATCCAGTTCTTGATGAGCTCTTCGAAAAGGTCCCCTTTAAAATACTACGTCCCATTCTTCAAAATAACCATATAATACTTAATAATCGATTTGGATTTCGCGAGCACGGTTTTTGTTTCAGTTTATTTGTCGTTGTTAATCAGTTAAAAATAATTGTAGAGACCGAAAGTGTTTACAGAATACTAATTATTATTTTCTAGACACGTGGTCAAATTTTTCAAGATTTTTAGCAATTCTTCAGCTAATTATAGTCATTTGAGTGTAATGTAGTTTTTTTTTTTGATATCCAAACGTTTTAATTTTAAATTTCGAAAAAAATATGTCACGATATTTTAAAACATGTTTAAAAGAACTTCGCTCAGATCGTTTTTCTTTAGAAAATATTTAACGTTGCATACGGATATACATAAATTAAATTACTCTATGTATTTTACCTAGTACCTTAGCTCCATTAGCTCCTTTTTTTTTTTTATTGAGTTTATGTCGTATTTAAAACCGTATAATATTATAATATTCGAAATATTTAATTTAATCAAACGCATACGATTGTTATAACTTTCTCAGTGATAACAACTATAATATAGGCAAAGATAATAATATTATCATCATAACTTGAATTGTTAGCTAAATTTAATTTTGAAATATTTAAATATAATATACATGTATATTAATATACGTAGTTATGTTGATGGGATATCATTATTATCATAAAGTGATAGCATATAGTTTTATTACCAATATAGTTATTATCAGATTCAAAAATGCGTACCGAAATTAGTATTAAAATATACATTTATTTCTTTTAGGTTTACTGTATAGTTGCTCAAAACGTATATTTTTTGCGTGCTATTTAAAAATAAACCACGTAGTATCTCAAATAAACGTCGAATTTTGCACAGAATGCAATTTTTGTCGCCAAAGTTACAAAAAAAAAAAAAATAAATAAATAAATAACCTACACACGTTCATACAGACACACTACCTAATTATTTTTGACTTGCTGCCCGTTTTAAATAATTTCGTACGCACTAAAAAAATATTGTCACGTAGATTTTCTATTTATAAAATATAGTCAATTTAATCGTTTTGTATAAATGATATTGTATCATAAATTCATAACAATTGGTACATAAATCGTTGTATTTTTTTGTTTGTTTTTGATACTTGTGAAATCTTATTATGATTATACTAAATTTTTCCACTTTTGTTCATTGTGTTATTATAAATTATAAATTTCGCCGTGAAATTACAACATTATGACACTTTGTTGGCTTTCATCAACTAAACAATATAATTGCCATATTAAACAGCTGCGGGTTTATTGAATATTAGTTAATTGAACATTATTTTACTAATATCTCGTCAAATTAATTAATGATTTTGTCTCACGGAAAGTGGTGGTGGTATAGATATAATTTGTATATTTTAATTACGTATATAACAAAAGTTGGTACAAACTATTTTACAAATTAAGTTAATGGAAAAATAATAATTAATATTATACTGTTACTTACGGTTTCCTAATAATATACAAATACGACACACAATAGTCACCATTGAATGTGGTTTTGCAGATTCGTACTGATTTTAAGGAGTTTTGAGTTGACGAAAATAATACTATATTGTTGTGTATTATAATTAGACTGCGAAAATTCATACAGTATACTAATAAAAATACCGAAATGTGACGAATTAGTTTTTCTAAAATTTAATTTTCTCTCTTATAATTGTTAAAATATATCATTAAACGTGATATTTTTTTCGTGCAGTACCTATAACTGAACAAATTAACAAATCACTCATTATCATAAAAAATTGTTTCCAATTATTTTGTATACTGGATCATGAAAAAAAATGCAAAATATATAATACATTTGCATGATCCCTTATTTAATTGTTTGATTGGGGTTTGAAACTTAATTCTTTTAATTCTTTTTAACTATTTAGGGGGTTCAGGGGTATATCCCCCTGACCATTGCAAGACTCCTGAGTTCTGAGCCTTAGTTTTTGTCATGGTATATGTGTTTTATAAATGAATTTAATGATTAACTATGTAATTTATGATATTTTATTGATTTTTATATTTGTTTGTTGGTGGTCACTTTAGATATCTACTTATGTATTATTTTTATTTTGTTAAAATATATTGAGTAATCATTTTTAATAATTTTTTTCATTATACTTTTCGAAAGCTTCATTGAATGTTTAGGTCTTAGGGTTTGTAATGTTCTAATCCGGGCTTGGGCTTTACCCGTGTCTGTCATAATTTCTTTCGTGTACTTCCGCTCTCGATGTTCCATATCTGATATATGACCTTCTATGATTTAATTCATAAAGCAATCGTGACGCAGTATATACCCTATAATTTTGTCTCTTCTGACTTTAATAGTATGTTAAAGTTCTTGTTTATTTTTATGCTGTTTGATGATAAAAATAATTCCATAACACGAGAGAAATAATATTCGTTTATATATTATCAAGAAAAAATCGTATAAGATTTAAAATTATGTAGCGTACAAACCTATAAATTATGTAAATCTAAGTCCCCCGAAAAATCAATACAAATGAGATACTTATATAAAATTCAGTTTTATAAATTTGTATTTCTTATTAGACTATGTACTCGTGCATGTTCATATGTAATATCTGTACAGCTATATATTATAATATTAACTATTCGCTGAAAAACAAACTTATCTGCTCATGCGTGAAATTTCTGACTGTTATACGAATGAATTTTATTTGCATACTAATGATTTGCTCGTTTTTTCTGGCTCGTGTACGGTTTTCCATTACTTGTTTATTTTCAGGGTTTATAAGTATTAAGTATAAAGGGTCCTGACCATAACAATATATATTATTAACACGAATGTTAAATACAGTTCAATTCAATAAAATTTAGTACAGTTCATATATTAGAAAATACGTAATTAATTAACAATTTAGTATTTATGTTATACTTAATTTTTAACATCGTTAATGGTATGAATGCAAAAGAGAAATAAACGATTTAAAGGCTTCGATAAAGGAAATATATTTCCCACTGCAAGTTTTTGGTGGAAGTAAATTTTAAAATATCATCGTATTCTAGAAAAAAAATTAAAAAATTTCTTAAGATATGAATTGTTTTTTTTTCTTTTTTGGTCTTTGATTTCTGCAGTTAGAAACCATCGTCAGAGTAGAAATTCTTAAAACTGTTAATCGTGAATATATTATATATTTATCTCGGAATCTTTTAAATTATAAAATATATGATACTATTATTATTATAGTTTATTGAATCACTTTTAATTTCTAATTAACACGCATAACTTAGCTCACTGATATTTAAACGATCTTGTTATTGGATATAAGTGTTATAAGTATATATAACATGTATGTAACTGTATTATATGTACATTATCTAAAGGTTATTAATGTCATAATATACGTATACAAATAAAAAAATCAATAATTATTCTTTAGTCTGATTTTTTTTTTTTTGTTTTTTTTTGTTTAAGCATTATATATTGACGTATTTTATTTGTGTACAATCATGGAAATATTCATTAAAACGTTAAGTTCAGAAATGTATTTACATTTTTAAAACTATATTATACCCTATACACCAGATATGATGTAGGTATAAATTCTAGATACGTGTAGATACAATCTTTAATTAACAATTAAACACAACGTATTATACTACAGTTTCAAATATACGTCATTTTACGTTTTAATTTCTGATGTTCATAAAAGAAATAGGTAGGTAATTAACTTATTGTACAATAACGTCGAAGTAATTATTATTATTATTATTTTTTTAAAAGCGTTTCAAAACATTAATAAGTCTATGTATACCTATTGCAATATACGAAATTAACAGAGATTATGCTATGTCATATAATGACAATAAATTCATTAAGTTAACAAAAATTATGTGTATTTAATACATAGGTCGTAGGTACTGAAATGCACAATACTGAGTATGCAATATTCAAAGCGGTTTGTTCCTATAATTAATTGTAAAAACAAATGTATTTATTAAATAGGTAAATATTTTCTTTTAAATAATACAAATTCTTCTAATATTATACTTCAATATCTAATGTGTTTATCCTGAATCCCAACATCCATCGACAGCGCCGATTATGAATTGATTATTATTATTATTATTATTACGAGACTATAAGGATTCTCAAACAATACTATAGGTAGGTGGAAATATGCGGAAACGAAAATCGAACCTTTTTCATTTTGGGTAGAAACGACAGTCGAATCGGTTACTTATGAAAGGGACAAGTCACACGTTTGAAAAAAATGATTGTTTTTTGATAAATGTATGTTCCATTGTTGTATAATATAGGCGGATAGTTTATTTCCGAAAAGAGTCGAGTTTATTATATGACTAATATGTTAGGTAGCTTATCTAATACGACTATAATTCAAATATTTAGATTGTATACGAAACGTGCAGTTAAGTAGTGGATTGAACCCGTAAAAACTTATGAGAGTTGAATTTTTTTAACTATTCCTTTTTATAAAATAATCGATTCAGTTGCAGGCGGACACGAAAATCGAGTTTTTCCGGCGGAATGGACGAACGGACGTCCGAAAAGAGACGTAGCTAGAAATTTTTTTTTGGGTAGGCCAGATCAAATAATATAAATGTTTCAATAGGAAAGACAACTAACACAAATTTATGATTTTAAAATTTTGTTAATTTTCGGACAAAAGTGGGTAGTTTCGGGCCTACCAGGCCTACCCGATGGCTACGCCACTGCGTTCGAATAGATAATAATATCGCGTCCATCCTCGCTGAACAGGAAGTCTTATTGCTTCTTCTCTACACGTATAATGGCTAGGGACGGACCGATATAACTTTTTACCGATAATCTAATGTTCCGCAATAATATGTTACTGACCAGAAACTGATAGCCTATGTTTGAAATCGAACACCACGAATTAATATTGAAATTACCCGATCCATCGATTTTTTTTTTAACGCTTCCGTATTCCAGAGACCGCATTATAGACATTTTTCTCCAAAAAGACCGGGTTCGAACAAAGCCCCGGTAAAACCTATCTACCGATGGTATCGAATATCGGTTTGTGTATTTACCGACACACCCCGAACGAATGATAATATCGCGCCCATTCAAGTATAGAGGCTCGTATCGCCTCTTCCCTTCGTGTACAATAACCCGGCTTTTCACGACTTTAGGGTGTGGTTAGACTACTACACCCGCCATCGGACGAAAACATCGGGAGAAAAGTGAAAATTATGAAATTAAATTTTATCGGTCATATTATACACCAGGATAAATTATACTGTCAGAGTCGTAGATGAAAACAAAATATTTTGTATTTTTCCTACCGAATCAATCGAATAGTTATTTAATTTAATTTATCTACAAACGTACTCCATAAATTATTCCAAAGTTTTTTTATTTATTTTAATTTCGGGAGTAAATAACGTTTACGAGTTGATCCAGAAGTTTTCGGATAAGTTTTAAAGTTCTTCAAATTGTTTTCGTTCCGCAAACATATAACCAGCCCAAAATCATTTTATTATTGTTATTATTATTTTTTTTTTCAGGTAAAAAATACTTAATAACTAATAAAATATGTAATTAAGTTGATTTCTAAATAATAAATTTCATCAGTTATGTCTACATACATTATACGTCATAACTCATAATATTAGTGGCCGAGTATCGAATTGCAACCAGGCAATGAAAATACATAACGTTTGTCTGCTGAATAATTTTGGCAAATTCAACCGAAATCCCGTTGTGGTTTGATCATTTTCGTTAACTGAATTTGATTTACCGTTAATCCGGTAGATGTCCGAGAAAATATTAAGTTCGACCGATGTCGGGTTTAGTCCGAGACCATTGAGGGGATTTAAAACCAATATTTAATTATTTTTTTTGTCAAACATAATAAACGTAATTCAGACGCAATTATTATTGTTTGCCCGATCGACGAAGTGAAGCAAAACAGTTTTGAAAACGAACGTTTATAATATGTTATAATAAACTGGAATTCGCGAGTTTGCCATACGCAGAGAGACTTATTTACATTTTTAACGTTATTTTGAGAGAACATTTTAGATTCTGAGTGGAACAAAAAAGCTTATAGTTTTACAAAGATGTTTATTTTTTATCATGTTTTTTTTATTTTTTCCACCAGAAATCTTGCTCCTATTTTTAAGTGTAGCGTTTTTTCTAAAAAGAAATCGATGTGGGGAGGTATTTTATAGAGGTTATTTTTCGATTTTCTCAGTAGTTTTGTCATCAGACGTGGAAAACTGAAAAAACGGCAAAATGTACAAAATATATTACGATTTTTTTTTATCTGTGAACAACTTTTCTACTAGTAATTTTGATCCAATTTATAATGATATCAATTTTTCTAAAGGAAAATCCGACTGGGGAGGACTTTAGAGGGATCATTTTTGATTTTCTTACTAGTTTTTCCGATAAATGGGGAAAACCGTAGGAAAAACGTAAAAAATCGGTACAATATTGAACAAATATTTTTAAAGAAAATAAATATCGCTTATGTAATTATTTTACCATAATTATAATGACATGTTATATCATATCGTAGACAAAGTAACTACATTATCAACTGAACTCCGCTCAGAATCGTTTTTCCGTTAACAATGGTTAATCGTTGCTAACAGTTACACATTAAATTACCTATTACAGTGCGGGGGATGGACGGGGTCGACGTTTAAAAAACAAAAAATCGCTGTTTTATCGCGTCTTCCGAGATTACGGCGCCCGTGGCGAATCCTCCTCTCGTCCCCCCACCCATTGGACCACTCCGGACGCGTCGCCGGCCGCGCGCCAGTGACCTTCCCGGGGGAAACGCGTAAATCGGCTTACTGGGTCAACGCATCGGCGGCGGCGGCGGCGGCGGCAGCGGCCTCGTTTCCCGCTGGAAGACAGGCGCGCGCGAACGAAGGGCCGCGCCGATGAACCGCGTCGCGCCGCACTGCGCTACTATCCCTCGGCTTTTGCCGCTATTTATAAACGGGCCGCCGTCGGGCGCAGCGCCGCGTCACCGCCGCGATACAATAGGCGAACGAAATAATAATAATAATAATAATAATGATAACGATAATAACTATAATGATAATATTAATACGCGCGCCGCCGACGCGACCGATTATATTATTATTGAGCGCCGTCGCCAGTCTCGGTCGTTTCGTTTATTTCTCTCCGCGGACGGGTCTGGCGTGTCGGCGCTTTTCGTGCCTATTTAAACCGTTAATTTTTCCACACGCGCGTGCCGCCACGCCGCGACGACTGCGACGGCGACTCGCTAACGATTTCGCACGACCTCTCGCGCCTCTCTTATTTTTTTTTTCCTTTATTTTATTTTTCTTCTATTCCGTGACCCGCGCGAGTATACGTGCGTTACGTTAACGCGCGGTAAAAAATAATAATAATAATAATAATAATAATAAAGTCGTATCGCAGTGCGTTTTATAGGTTTTTTTTTTTTTTTTTTATCGTTTGTTTTGTTATTTTTCCCCGCGTTCGTTTCGCCGCGATATCCGTCCGCCGCGTTCGTCTGGCCCCCGCGGGGTCGCGGTTCGCGCGCGGTAAACATATTCGTTCGCAGACCGTAGAAAAGCACCTCGCGGGACGGACGATGTCTTCGTCTCCGCTGCCGTCGTCGTCGTACGTGTGCCGTTATTGACCGCGTCCGGATTTGAACGTTGTATCCGGAGTAAACTCGTGTTTTTTTTTATTATTTCATTTTTTTTAAATTTTTTTTTTTTTTTTTTTCCCCCGCGTTTGATATTGGACACGATAATTTCGTCGCGATTTCGTTCCGCCGCGTTTCAATTGAAATATAATAACATTGTAGCCATGTTGTCCCGGAGGTTGTCGCTTTTCGAGCGACAAGAGTTCATTATGATCGGTGAGTTTGCCAGAAAAAAAAAATAATAATAATAAAACAAAACCAACGAAGAAAAAAACTGAATTGAATAAAAACCGTATTAATGGTACAGTTTTCTTTTTGTTGACCTTGAGCAAACTTTCGTCGTTTTTCGTATTATTATTTTTTTAATACGATGTATTTCGGTTTTTTTTTTAACCTATAATAACATCACCGACGCCGTGTCCTCTGTATGTACAAGCGAAACGCGGTTTGACGGAAGGAGGGGGGTAGAAATAACCTCTCTATCAAATCATTATATAATATACGTTCGACGAGTTTGATCGATTTCACGTTTTACCGCATTTTTGTTTTAATATTATTAAAAAGCCCCGACCCGTTCGTCGTCGTGTTATGGCATTTCGAAATGGAATTTTCCCCGTTCGAAACGTGTTATTATTACCGTCATCCGCCAATTCCCAATGGCGCGACTCGTTGCGACACCTTTTTGTCGATCGATCTATTAATATTGAAACAATAATGATATTGTTTTGTTATTTTTTTACGGTCGCACAAGAATCATTACGTATATATATATATATATATACACATTATATTCTCCCTCCCCGTTTAGCTTTTGTTTTAATTCCGTTCTGTTCAATTCGAGATGTTAAGACACGCGTATGATGACGGCAATATTACAATTGCGTATACGTGTAGTACACACATCGAACCATGAAAATACTGCATGTTCTTTTGACGGCGTTTAAACCATCTGGCAATACGCCTATTTTGCCCATGTCTACGCTATTCACAATAATACACATTTTTCTTTTCGTATAATAAAATTCGTTTAAACGAGAGCTGAAAACATAATGAACATTTTTTTTTTTTTTTTTTTAATCGAAATCCTATAGCTAATCCCGAAAATGTGTTATTGCGTACTGGATGATATAATAGTGTGTAGAAGGACTGGCGTACAGCCCTCATTGGTCGTGTTTTTAAAAATAAAGCGAATATTCAGCGTTAAAACTCATTATTATGCTAAAAAAAATTATAATCGTTGTACAATAATGATGGTTTTTGGAAAATTATCTCTAGGACAAGGTTTTATATAAGTACATGTATAATAGATGTATTTATAGAATTTTATCGTGGAGGGAGTGTATTGAATTTTGTCGTATTGTACAACGTTTACTCAGGCTAAAAACAAATAAAACAAAACACGATCACATTTTACATATTTGTGTAAGTAATTAATAATCAAATCCGTCCGAAAAATAATTACCAATGAGACTAACTATAGCTAAAGAACTATCGCATATAGTAGCTGTTAAAAGTTAGTAGATATTTTATATTAAGGTAGCCACTAATCTATAATACAATCTGATTAAAAGTTAAAGACATTGAACTTGAGAATATATACGTATTAAAACAAATTTCAACGAGGAGCAATATCTCCCTAATCTGCCTTTAAACTCTCCCTTTCGTTGAAAATTCCGCTGATGTATATGAGTAAAATATTAACGTAGAAGAATGCAAACAGGATTAGTATATAATATTAGCAGATGGCCTACGCGATGCATTATCGATGTTTAATGGATCGTGGAATATCGAATTGACCACAATAATATATTGTAACGCCATCGTCATAGACCGAACGACAATACGACAAGCGAACTATATAATATAGTTTGTATAACATACACGAAAACATATTTTAACGAGATTTATTCTACCCTTTTACCTAGGGACGGAAAAATGAACCTATTCCCATCGTCTTGCTTGCGGGATGACACGAGAATAATATTTTGTTGAGCATTTGAACCCGGTCGCTAAACTGTATTACCAACAGCCAAATGACTTTCGGTTTAAATTTTTCGCGCGGTTCATAAAAGACACGTTCGCAACATATAATGCAATAGTATATATTTGGATGATTTATTTTTTTAAAGTTTCATTATCCGGGTCTTTTATTTCTTTACAATTATTTTATCTTTATCCGACGATATCTTTATTATACGTCGTACGTCGTATAGAATCTCGAGTTTCTCGGCCCGTACATTTAAAAGTATTTATTCAATTAACTTTCCATTAACAAATATTTGCAAATTATTATATTATTTTTATATACAGTACAAAACGTATTGTTTCGACGCGCTTTCGATGAACAAAATGAAAAGATACGTTGTCGTGTATCGCATAGTATTCTTAGAAAAATTAATTTAAAAAAAAAAAAAAAGCCTATTATTTTAACTGTTTTTTTCTGCACTATTAATTTTGTTATTCTTGCTCGACACAGTTAGGCGTAAACATGACGCATGGTATTGTATCAGGACACACCTATACCTACTATAATAAATTTGGTTATGCTTTTTGTAATTTTTCGAGAAAACGAATCTCGGCATATTATTATTATTTCGCACCATGAAAATATCTCTGAATCCACATATAGACGAGTTTTTATTTTTGCCAATTTATGTGGTAGATAACTCAATGTTCAAAAGTTTCGTAAAGCAAATTGTGTGTGTGTGTGTGTGCGTGTGTGCGCGCGCGCGTGTGTTTTAATAGTAAAATGTATAATTATTAAAATTTTAATTTGTAATTTTAGCTATTCAATTTTGAAATCTTCAGAACGTCAGATTGCTCGTTCTTTATTCATTCTGCTCGTCAAATTTCACGTATTACAATTATATATATACTATTAAATTTGGCTCGTTTTTTTTTCGACTGCAGTAGTACGAATTTATCTTTAGACGTTTTAAAATATATTTTTTGCCAAGACGAACGTGACAAATTGCTGCAATTCATTTTTTTTTTCATCTGTCTCCGGTACTTTTTCTAATTGAAGATATTTTTAAAAATTATTGAACCGTTTACAATTGAAAACAAATAATTTCACCGGATTTGTACATTTTTCAATAATTATTATTAAACCTTTAGGTTTACCTAACATATTTATCTGTGTACGAACATTTTTACGTAGATAATTTTATTTGAGTGCGACAACTCATCATACACGTAAATATACACTGCGTATCCACTCCCCCTCTCTTTAAAAATCCCCACGAGTAGACAGTCCAAACATTCCCCTATCGTTTGGATTTTTCTCATTTACTCCTTTCCGTCACTAGCAAGAATATTTCCTATGTAAAATATAATATTTTGTTACAAAATCTACTAATTCAATCATTTACCATTCTAGTGAACAATAACTAAAATCCGGGGCAAAATTTTATTCTAAAAAAAAAAATCCAAAATGAACTTTTATAATTACGATATTGAATAGAGTTAAAAAGAATTAATTGCATTTTCAGTGATAATACTAGTTATACTAGTTAATCGTTAATTAATTTTCTACTTATTATATCTTTATGTCTATACTACACAGATTATTCTGTGGTTATACTGTTTGTATAAGGTCTGTGAGCTATAATATGGCAGTAAGCATATTTTGTTGTTGGTTACGTGAACTGCTATTATTATTAACGTAATCTAAAGTAGGTTTATCGACATGATATAGTGTATATTAACAGCGGTGTTTCCGTGTATTTTTTTTTTAAGATTATATCATAAGCATCAGGTTTTAAAATTTCATTGGTGGGGTTCACTATTTTAGATACCCGCGTACCGTTTTACCCGACTTTTGCCGTATATTTCTTATAGCCCAGGTTTGTCAATCTCATGGGGGGGCTACAACTTCCGGGTCCCTCTCTACATGGCGCTATTGGTACATACTATAATATCTATGTCATGTGTCTTACATGCGATATTTTATTTCTTATGGTTTACGGGTAGGTGCCTAAATTGTTTACATAAGGAAATAGATATCAAGTATACGAAAATTAAATTTTAATTATCAAAATAAAACATATAAAATTTAAAAAAAAATATTGTTAAACGTAAGAATATTGTACATTTTGTAATTATAATTATACTTGATGCTAAATTAAATTTCAATTTATATTACTATTATGGTTTTTAATTGCATATGTGATATGAACGGGCAACGATAATAATATATCGTAACAATTTTGTTTGAAAAACTATTTGAGAGTTTACGCTTCAGTATACATGTAATTACTCAACAAAACGTTAAGTGTATACGGCGTGTATGTAGTATAGTGTATGTCCTATTGTAACGCCACTGTAAATTAGTAGTAATATTATTACACGTGTTTTTTTCGATAATATTAATGAATTTGATACAAGAATACGGGATCGCTTTGGTTATCTTTATGAAAGTTTTACCGAAACAATAGAAACAGTAACTCCTAGTTAGAAAAATTATGAATTGTATTCCTTAATTATAACGAAAATGCTATAATATATGAGTCATTTTACGTACATTACGTGTTATTAATTTATTGGTTTATCGTCTGTAATTGCCTAAATTAACCTTAAAATGAACGTAATTTGCGTTTATATGGTTGCCGATATTAAGCCTATTATAATATATACGGGATTTTTCTGATTCGATGTATTAGGTATACTATTGTCGAACTCTAATAAATCCGGTTAATAATATTTGTGTTGTTTTAATAACGCTGCAAAAGTATGTTATATTATATTCACGATATCTATACAGATATAATAGTAAATTTATTATACGTTTTTAATGTTTCGGATTGGTTATGTTTCTTTTGTTAGGTTAGATTATTATAAATATATTGTATCATATGGATTAACTGTAAGAGATTGAAAGACAACTGAAAAACAATACAAATATTTGGAAATCCATAATCCTATTGTAGGCGGTATTTTAAAGAAGTTATTGAGACTATATAATATCGCATAATATTAAATATAAGCAAGACAAATAATAAACTATACGAATTTAAATTAAAGTTCTGAGTTCAGAAATAATAATTTATCGTTATCGATTTCTCACCAGTAAAATTTTATATAAAATATGATGCTAATTTAAATAGTATTTTTCCAGGCGAACGTCTCAACTATGTTAACACGCCACATGTCATCGCTATGGTCGGGCTTCCAGCTCGAGGGAAAACTTACATTTCGAAAAAACTTTCCCGTTACCTAAACTGGATCGGTATCAACACCAAAGGTCGGTATTAATCCGGAAATTGTAAATAATAATATAATACTTGCTTGTGTAGACTTTTGTAGATAGTAGAAATCCGGATCGGCCAAAGTCCGAGTGTCCGAAATTCGAAATTTATTGTAAATCCGGGTTCGGATTTTAATATTTCTTTTATGGATTTGTTTAATAATATAAAATCGCCCCAATTCATGTATTTTTTTTTATGTGTATAAATCAAATACATATATAATATTTATATATGTACAATATTTAAAAACTAAGCATAATTTTAAATTGATTCAGTTAAATAAAAATAAAAAAATAAATAAACTATTTGTTTAAACGTCTAAAAAGAAAAAAATTGATTTGCTTATTTAAAAAGTAGATAGTAATTTCGAAATCCGAAATCCGGTTTTTGTTGTCTGAAATAGTATCGTCAGTAACTAATCTAATGTAATCTTGTTTTTTTTCTTTTTAAGGTGTAACGGCTTTCTTTAAGACCAGCCCTCCAAGCAAATACTCCTTCATCCATTTCTGTATTCCAATGTCACTCTTCATTTTACTCCAGGTTCCACAGTTCCTAAAAACTTAACAGACACGTAGCCATGGAGGTTCTATGGAGTTTTGATCTCTTCCCCAAATTTTTTTAGGTTTTTCACCAAAAAATTAGACTGTACTTTGATTTTCTACCCATTAGGTTAAAAATTTCGCCTCTCAGGCAATTATATTGGTAGTTAGCGATAAATTTTGTGTTTGGACACTTTCTCTCCCCAAATAAAAAAAAATCCTGACTACGTGCCTGAAACCTAAAAGCACATTCCCCTCATTTTTTGAGTAATCTAATAATATAATATCGGTACGATGGTGTTGCAGTTTTCAATCTCGGAGAATACCGGCGCCACGCGACCTCGGCATACAAGTGTCACGAGTTTTTCCGTCCCGACAACAAAGAAGCGATGGCTATCCGAACGCAGTGCGCCATGGACGCACTCGACGATGTTTGTTCATGGCTGGACAACGGAGGGGAAGTGGCCGTCAGTATATTAGAATATTTTAATATGTGTTTTCGGTTTTCGGTTTAAATGTATAATAACGGCGCCGCTACGGTGTACCGATTTTTCAGGTGTTTGACGCCACCAACTCGACGATCGAACGCCGGCAATTGATATTGAACATCGTCGTGAAAAAACGTGGGTTCAAATTGTTTTTCGTCGAATCGGTGTGCGATGATCCGAAAATCGTCGAACAGAACATAATGGTATACTACTCATCAAACTATCTCTACGTATAACAATATAAATATTACGTTCAATCGTAAATTCGTATTTTTTCGATTTCGTCGTTTGTCGCCGTTCGTTTATAATACCTAATATCCGTAATCTGTAGGAAGTGAAAATCAACAGTCCGGACTATCACAGCATGGGCGCGGACGTGGCTCTTCGGGACTTTTTGCAGCGGATAGAGCACTACCAGGAACGGTACGAACCGCTGGACGAAAACACCGAGTCCGGGTTGAGCTACATGAAGATCTACAACACTGGCGAAAAAGTGTTGGTGCACAAGCACGAGGGTCACATACAGGCACGTATCGTCTACTATCTGATGAACATTCACATCATTCCAAGAACGATTTATCTTACGAGAGTGAGTACCTGATATTTTCTTACTTACGTACGAAAAATTACTACTCCCGTTGTACACTATTAACGTTTTAACTTTGTCGGCTATGATTATTATTATATAGCACGGGGAGAGCGAATGGAACAGGGAAGGTAAAATCGGCGGTGATTCACAGCTGTCTAGCAACGGCATTAAGTACGCCATTGCCTTGGCCAATTACATAAACGACCAGAGCATTCAGAACCTCCGGGTGTGGACTTCATGGCACCACCGGACTATACAGACGGCGAGCGGTGTCCGGGCTCCGCAAGAAAGGTGGAAGTCGTTGAATGAAATTGATGCTGTAAGAGTTAAAAAATTATAAAATCCCATATGGAAAGGTTCCCCAATTCTCAAAAATAGTGGCTCAAGCAATGTTCGAAATAAAGAACCCAACGGTTATTGTTATTTTGTTTTCCTAGGGAGTTTGCGATGGTAAAACATACGCCGTGATCAAGCGCGATTATCCGGAACAGTTTGAATCCCGCGATAAGGACAAGTTCTCTTATCGTTATCCAAGAGGAGAGTCTTATGAAGACCTGGTAGCTCGACTAGAACCGGTCATAATGGAGTTAGAAAGACAGACAAATGTTCTAGTGGTTAGCCATCAAGCGGTTCTTCGGTGCTTATTAGCATATTTCTTAGATAAAAATGCAGGTGTGTAGTTGTAAAATTTTAGGTGATAAATAGTAGTGGTAATGCATATTAAATTTAATGATTTGATTTATTTTGATTTTTTGTAGAAGAGTTACCGTACTTAGAAGTGCCGTTGCACACACTAATCAAACTCACACCTGTCGCATACGGCTGTAAAATGGAGCAAATTAACTTCCCTATCGAGGCCGTCAACACTCATCGTCCAAAGCCTCAGGTTAGTTGTGTAAACGTAACTGCACAGTAAGAACTTATAGTATGACATGATGATCTGAGTGTTATTTTCAATCCCAATACTAAAATATGTTTATTTGAGATTAATGTTCTTATGTTCACGTGTAATTAATCAACTAAAGATTAATTCATACCTATTATAACAAAAAAAGATTTACCGGTATCACGGGAAAAATTGCACTTTTTATGAAAAATATAATTTTTTTCTATTTTTTTAAATATTGTTTTCATTGAAATCATTGATTTAACAATTAGTTAATGTACATATTATTATTTTGTTAAATTGCCAGTAATATTGTGTTTGGATTCAGTAATAACTATTCAAATTTTTCATAGTTTTTATTCCATACCAGTACATTAATAAAACTAATCATATTCATTAAATACATCTTTAACCTATAACATCTGCAATGTGATTTATGCATAGTTTTTTTCCTATATGCATCAAAATCCATAGAAAAAAGTTCCTCTGGTAGGAAAAACCAGTTGGTTAGCTTATGTATTTAACTGTTATTAAAATTATTAAATACAGTAAAATGTATTTTATTTTGTAGTTACACACATTTCCATACACAATTAGTCATTATACAATAGTTAAATTATTGTATCTGCAATATTATGTTTGGGTGCACTGCACTGCCAAAACGAACAATTCAAATAAACCATTTGTTTCAAGAACAACATTTGATATTAAACAGTCGATATTAGATATGGTTTGCTTGTTTGGAAAAAAATGTAGTTTTTTAATAATGTTATTTTCAATGGGAAAGTTATTTTGTTAAAAACTTGTTACATTTAAATTATGATTATCGTTTGAGTGGTTAGATAATTTAAATCCATTGTGTTATTCACAAAGTCATTGTATGACTTTTTCTATTAAAATTGCCCAAGTTTCAATAACATTTTAGAATTCACATTTCAAATTTTCCTAAAATAAGTGTTTATAATGAAGGAAAAATTTGTATGTAAACAAAATAAATTATTTTTTAAAAATGTATTATAATAGTTTGAAATCATTGTAGTAATACCAAAATTGTCATAAATATTTTCATAATCAATAAAATGGTTGACAATTATATTTGATTTTAGAAAAAAATTTACTATTGAAATTTTTAATTTGTTTAATTTTTACAATCATGTATAAGCACAAACAAATATGTAACTAGGTTGGGGAATGTTTACAAATTTTTTATTCGAAAGATGTTATGTAAGGAAATCCTTTCCAACTAAAATATTTATTGTTAAGAATGCTCAAACTTCTATACAAATGAACAATATATATTTTATTATTTTATTTCAATTTATAATTATTGTTATTGTTGTTGCATGAAATATTATTATACTCGTTTCGGTATAGTTCAAATGTTGTAAAATATTCAACAAAATGTTTTTATATTTTTAACAATTTTTTTCTAGAATTTGCTTAAAAATCATTCACTCAGAATATGTATTTCTAAAGTAAGTCTATATTATTTGATTTTACACATATTTGCTTGATATGAAAAAACAAAGGGTCGGTAATAAATATAGTTATTATTAACACAATACGTTCTATTTTTGAAGTGTTATGTAGATAAAACAAACCACAACTAATAGTTGGCTTGATATCATATATTTATGTTTATATTATTGTAACATTGCTGTTTTGGAGTAATTAATAAATAATGAATAATATGTATATATTTTTACTGTTTTTTGATTACAAAATTTCGCTAATATAAACTCATATACTTGTGGTTACTCCTTGCAATGGTGTTTGAGCTTCTCAACTGTAATTATTAACACAATTATTATTATTTATTTTCAAAAAATAATCTTTTATTACATGTTTTGTATAATTTCTCAGCATATTTGTTTTATCGCATGTCTATAATATTATTGTACTAACTTCGTTAAAATTATTTTTTTTCTATTTTAAATTTATTATTAATTTCCTTATATAGAATGTAATTTTTACAATGCTCTGTGAATTATAGTATTTACTATTTATCCAAGGATTCTGTAACAATACTATAGAAGGTTTTTATGATTTAACAATTATATACACTATTATAGAGGTGTTAAAAATTCTGTTTGTTTTTTTGATAGATTATAACATAGGTGTTAATTGTCCACACCGCAAGTCTGCCTACTCTGTTCAATATTTTTTTTTTTATTTACATGGTTAGTTTTCATTATATACTGTTTAAGTTTTCATCCTTATCTTTCACTGGGAACAAATAATTATTGATCATTTTTATATTTCCGTATTACCTATTTTATTTAAACATTTTTATAATTTCTCCTAGTTCGTGATAAACACAAATTCATAATAATAATTTTGTTAGGTCTGTCTGTAAGACGTATAAAATAATAATGTCAGTTCATATATCACGTGTATACTTTAAAATCGTTGTTTTGATATTATTCAAACACAATTTACATAATTTAAAAACTGGGTTACGCGTCTACTTGTATAAAATTGTTAGAATTTTGCATCTCGTGTTTGGTAGTCATAATAGTATTTATACAACACTTTTCGTTGGAAAAACTACTTGAATATCCGATATGTCTTGTGTATTTAAATTTTACGAATTACCTTAGACATTATTCGTTTCATTTTTCCCTCCGATTTTGCCAAACTTTTTGACGCCATAAACCCATTTGCGTACACTCGTCCGTTGTGTGCGTCATGTGGTGTAGTAAACCAACAAACCGTGTCATGTTATTAGGTATAATTATAATATTGTCATTGTGCTCATCAAAAAAAAACCATTCTGATTACCGTGTTTGTATATATTTCGTACGGAGTTTGATAATGCGTTATGATATTATAGGGAAGATGTTTAGTTAAAATATGCGAATGGTATTTTTATTGTAATACTCTCTCGGTCGTCGTTAAAATAACGAATGACCTTCAGAATATCGGGAAAGTGTGTACTGGAGAGTGAAAAAAAAACTTACTCGTGCGTTAAGTTATATTTACTGAAATCGGAAAGCTTTTTTTTTAATATAATTATAATGCTTGCTATCTAATTAAAATATTTTACTGAAAAATAAAATGGTACTTTCGAGTAATTATTTTCCTTTTTATACTTTTATTCTCGTATATGTTTGTCGACACGATATTTTAATATAGGTGTATAATTATACAATAGTATTATACTTGGCAATTTTATTAACAAAAATAAAAAAAATTTCGTCCTGGTATCACGAGTTCTGCAATTTTACCATTTATACTATCCAGGGTGTCAGTGTCTTACATAACGTATGATACTCATTATCTCCGAAAATATAAACTTTTTTTGGAATTTGTTTTTATAGAAAATTTAAGAAACATTATATAGCTCTACAATCGAGGGCTATCATTTGATGATCTTTTTTCCCCTTAAGGCTTGTTTCTCTGCTCTAACCTTATTAAACTCTTATTTTAACAAGGATTTAATATGGTAAATTTAACGGACATTGAAAAAAGGTCATCAAATTAGGAACGCGTGAGTAACAAAAAAAGCTTCGTATACCGCGGGTTGTTGATCTATTACTATAGATTATTGGATTTTCGAAAAATAAATTATAAGACTGTGTGGTTTTAAGCGGATGTACAAACCGGCATTTACCGTCTCTGTCTATCTAACGGGCAACATAACAAAAATTACGTGTTTTCCCAATAGTGCTCGGACTCTAATAGACATAAAGCAAAAATAATTTAACCAAATCAATGACAATATTTTTATTATGTTTTCACTGAGAGATTTTTTTGATATCGAATTTTCAGACAATTTATTCGTAACTTTAAACAATTAATTTTTGTAACATTAAGAGAACGTGAGCATGTGATGTCTTCATTTTATAAACGAACGGCATAACAAATTTGCGTTCAGCAGAATAGAATTTTTGCGGTTAGTTTTAATATAACAGTAAATTCATATAATCTATACAATGATGGGGACACTATCTGTGTTTTACGTAGGTTATTTCGATATTTTGATTTTCAAGCGAGAAGTGAGTATGTACAATTTAAAAATACTTGTATCTCGCTTAAACACTAAAATATCGAACAAAAACCTAGGTACAAACGTATAGATAATTATTACGTATGTTTTATATTAGGTCAATGTCAATTCATTCTATTATTAAACATTAAAAAAATTGTCTTTGCTAAACGCAATTTCGCTATGCTGTGTGTTTTTAAGACAGGACGGCACATGCTTGTATCTCGCGTCATTGTATAATATGAAATTACATAATGAAAATATTAATAAATCGCTCTGCGAACACACAATAAATATTGTTGTTTTTAATTTGATGATTTAAAATAATACGGTACAATCGTAAGTTCATATATTTTTTCAATATATTTCGATTATCTTTAATTAAAAACGCGTTTCAATTAATTTGAGAACAGGAGTATTATTGGACCTACGAAAGCGAATTTTTGCGAATTGCTATATTGCCGCGTTATAGACATTTAAAGAGAGACGGAAAATGTCGTCTGTACGGATAAAATATTGTTAATCCATACGTCGGGGGCGAGTATTGAATAAAGCGTTAATTTTGTTCTTATAATATTATTCTGCCGTTTCAGCCATTTTGTTCTCGTCGCACCGTCCGGTTATGTGTAAACATTTTGGTATCCGTTCAGCGCTCAGGACGCATTTCCGTTTGTAATTGGTCCATTTGAATCGTGCGCGTTTGGAAGTATTTTATCAGCGTGTTTATTATAGTGTTGGTACTCGTGATTAGGAGGGTATCGGTGCAGTCACGAAGCGTCGACATACAATTATACATCTAAACGGAACATTCAACATGAAAACGCGTTCCGGTGAGTGTAGTTTCATTTCGAGGGCAGAAACACGTGAGATAATAAACGGAGTGTTTTAATTGGTTGTCCTTGGAGTGCAAATTCGCTCTCTCTCACACTATAGGCTTTATATCAGCCCATCTCCCTTGATTCGTTCCGACAAACTACGCTTCCCAGTCCTCGGGGTAAATGTTCCGTTCATAATATACATGTCCGGATCGAAACTCGGAAAGTATACGTCGAATTCATTTGTTAAAGTGTAAGTTGCATACAAATCGAATTTGGCAAAGTCTCAAAGTATGAAACCGACGGGTACGGTTTTAGATGGGATCGCAGCAATGTTGACTATTTCAGTAGGTGCACCATAGACAGAGAGTTGAAACGTAAAATCGAAGTTAAAATCGAAATCGATTGTGGATTCTTACGAGAAAGTTTCGGTGATCGAAAATGTAAAACCGTAATGCGGTTATACGTGACGGAGGGAAGGAACGCTTGCACATAATATACTCGTATAATATTTCTGCGGCTATTCGCGAAAAATTCAAAACAACGACTTTCACCGCGGGTACTATACGAGTACTTTGCTACTTTGTATTTATTTTTTGTCGATTCCATCGTAATATTGTAATATACTATACATATTATGTATATGTATACATACGGGATGATCAATCTAACACAAGACACTCATTACCTCGGAAAGTATTATCTTTTTGCGGAATTTATTTTCTTGAACATTTAAGAAACAAACTGCTCTACAATTTTATATTTATATTATTTTTTGTCACCGTTATATTTGGAGATAAACCACTACCTATTTTTGATTTTCAAATGGCAACCTATATAAAACAGAATTACTTAAAAAGATGGAATACTTATTTAAAATAAACTTTGGTATTGAAATTTTTGATTTCCGTCAATCCGTTGACGAGATATTCCATTTTTAAGTTTGGGTTGAGGGAGAGTGACGGAGTATCATTTGTGTTGCCATACGTTGCGCGGCGTGATAATATTGCACCACTACTCTCCCTCAACCCAAATTTAAAAATATAAAATTGTAGAGCAGCTTGTTTCTTAAATGTTCTGGAAAATAAATTCCGGAAAAAGTTAACACTTTCCGGGATAACGAGTGCCTAACGATAGTTTGATCGCCCTGTGTGTGTATTGTATATATTATTATGATAATGATAACATATTATTATGATAATGATGTAATATAGTTTGGTAATATTATGAGATACTATATTGTGTTTTGTTTTTAAAGGACGTGCCCGAAATCTCCGATAGTGCGCGCACCAGATCTACTAATACGGTGTGTCTTATTATAATGAAAAATAATATACCTAATAACAATATAGTCGTAACGTGGCATGCGCTAGGTATTATAATGCGTTTGCTCGCTGCTATTTTTTAAATTTTTCATTTCAACAATATTTTTAATGCGTTATCACCTATCACCGTTATTAGTTTCATACTGTAATATATTATTTGTACTAAATACGCCCCATGTTGAGTTTACACTTTATACTCGTAGGTTGGGCTTGTTTAGGGGGCGTTTGGCCGGCATTTACCGTCACTATATTTCAAACGAGCAACACGGGAAAAATTGGGTTTTCCGCTAAGGGGGTGTTCCCTTACACAGGCGTTTCCGTCTTACAAACGCGCGGCACAGCAAATTTGCGTCGAGTAGGATACAATTTGCGCAGTTAGTTTTAACGTCAAAGCGTATATAGACTTCACACCGAACTTAAAAATAAGAAGACTGTCTGTGTCCCTAGCGTTGATGGTTTTTGGATATATTAATAAGTGAAACATCACTGTTTAATAAAGATCACATCTCGCTTAAAAATTGAACTATCGATGCAAGCGTACAGATAAACTTTTTACCTTTAATTTTGATAATAGGTCGATGTGCTTGAATATTAAAGGCACAAAATTTGTCCTACTGAACCAAAATTATTTTTGTTTCTAAGAAGACCTGTCGCCTCCCGTATTTAATGTTATCAACTCAGAAATATTAAAATTTACTTTAAATTATAAATCCATAAACAATCAAAAATGTCTACGAAAAACCGTATCGTGCGGACAAAACTACTCTGGCTGTGGTCGGTGACTTGGTTGAGAAATCAAATTTTTACCATAATAACATATTGGGAGCTCGTACGATTTACACGTAGCGCACGGTTTTAGTTTTTCGATATCAATATTCCGAAATATATTATTTTTGATTTTTTTTTTTTAACAATAATAATTTTTTGTGTTTTCCATATCGAAAAATAAAATCGGCGTTGCACAGTTCCTCTTTATCTGTGGTGAAAATTTGATTTCTTAAATCTTATTTCTTAAAATCTCGTAGCCCGATTAGTTTAATCCCGCGCAAAACAGTTTTTCACACTCTAATGACGAGTGGTAGCAAAGTTTAAGAACACTACTGCAGGTAGTAGTTGCGGTGCAAAGTATTTTCTCATCAAATCACCGATTTAATTTTATAACCGCCCCTATCAAAAATACTTCAAAATCTACACACCGGGAAGAGTAAAAACAAAGTTTCCTTGGGGGTGTTAAATGAAATTTATAAAATGTCTGGGTTCTAAAATTCATTAAATGACTTTCGTTTTGTAAAAACATAGTCATTTTTGTTATATTTTTGAACACCCAGGCACCAATTACCCACCCACCTGTTTTTTTGCGAATCACTTGATTTAAATATATATCCCTTCTCGCCACCACTGGCTGGCAGTACGAAAACAAACGTTTTTTCGTCACATTCGCCCGTTTAGACAGTACACGGACGGCAAATGCCGGCGTAACGTTCTCTAAGAAAAATAACGTATAAATACACACACACACACGCGGTATTATGTTACACTATTGATTTTTTTTTTTAATGTTTTTTTTTTTTTTTTCTCTCTTGGGTAGTTATGGCAGGCGTATTTTTTTTTATATTTTGCTATGTTCACTAGTGCACCATGCCGTAGGTACACAGCGTATCGCAATTATACGTGTGTATAATATTAAAATATCGAATGCATTTTGATGCATTATTCTGTGCGATAACGAAAGTTCGATCGCCGGGTACCTTTGTGTAGTGTCGTAACGAACATTAAAATCGCACTAACCCCGTACTTGTGTTATTGTATTTTAGAAACCCGGATATTTGGAGGACCGATTTAAGTTCCCGGAGGACAAGGAAACCGGCGGCGCCGACGACAAACCGACCCCGTGTTGCAAAAACGCCGACAACGGGGACGTCACGTTGCCTACTTAAGAAAAACCGCTATGACTTCCGACCGTCATGACCGTCAAATATTATAATATTATACGACCACGACCGTGCGATCACGACAATTATTATTATTATTATTATCATTATTATTATTATTAATTATTAATTATTATGCATTATTATCATTTTAATTCAATTATATGTACCGCTGCTATAATATACCGGGGATACCGTGCTCGACGTACCCCCGTCGGTTTGACGGGACGACTGGCGGTCTGCTATTTTCCGCGAAACGGCGGTGCGACGGAAAGACGGTGTCGTGTCGAAGGCGACGATGACGCGCTAAAAAAAAAAAAAATAATAATACAATTAAAATTAATAAAAAAAAAAAAATAATAATACAATTAAAATTAATAAAAAAAAAAAATTAAATTAAATTAAATACTTATATTAATTATTTCAAAGTATGAGCAAATATCGTGTTTTCCAGACAAATTATAATATTTTTCCAGGGGTAAAGAGAGGAAGGGTGTATGTCGGACGGTGGCGATGTAGCGGTTTGCGTTTGTCCGGGTTAATTTGTACATTTTAATTTTAAATACAATAATATTATTATAAATTATATACGCGCATTTGTGTGTGTGTGTGTGTGTGTGTGTGTGTGTGTATGTATGTGTATGTGTGTATGTGTATGTTTAGGAAACCATAATTTTATTGTTGTATAATGTACAATGCAAGGCAGTGATCAGCTATCCGAATTCGACTAATACGTATGTAACAATAATGTGTATCTACGCGTATGGCTATACTTAATTTCTAGACTATTCTCAATCGTAAACCTCTGTTGTAAATAATATTATAATAAATCCAAATGTTCTATATATATATATATATATTATAATGTATAAAAGTACTCACTTGTTGTATAATTATATATTTAGTCCGATTTACTATAATTATTGTATAACCAAAGTGTCCGCATGACTGGATTGCCGTGTATCGTGTTACAATATATCACGCGACAAAAGTCATGTTAAAAAAGTTTATTGAAATTGTCGTCTTGGTATCTTTTTTTATTTCTTTACTGTAGATTTTTTTTTTCTAAGCTTTTCAATCATCATCATCATTATTATTATTATTATTATCAAGATAACTGCATACAGAAACTGTCTGTTTTTTACTGTATAAGCTTTGGCCTTATTACAAATTTATTAAATGCGATTATTGCAAAATGTATTATCATTAAACAAATTACAGATTTATTGTACATTATATACCCATATTGCCTGGGCCCGTATAAATATTTTCACTTAAACAATTTATTGTAATGTGATATTTTCAATGAAAAAAAAAAAAAAATGAATGGTGAATTTTTCCTTTTCTTGTTTTTTTTTTTTTGTATATCAGATCATTATTTGTTCTTCAGAATAAAAAAAAAGTTTCATTTTCATTTTGTTTTGAATTGACATTTCAAAATTGTGTGTCGTCAAACCATAATCGTAATACTATATTATAAATACAGGTACCTAGTAATATCGTATTGAGCAACTGTCCATATCACTGTACCTACGAACATTCAAAGAAATTTCTAATTACCAATCGAAAAACTTGATAATAAATAATAATGTTACCAAACGCAGTTTGGGACTTTGGAAACAGCGCCTGATATTAAATTCGGTCATCGTTTTCGTCCAATTTCGCGGTAAGGCTCATTAAAAATGGACACGTTTTCTCAGTTTCCACGTCGAGTATGCATAATATTATAAAAATGAAAAACCAAAACGCCCGCCGTACGTTCGTGCACTCCAATACAACAACCACGAAAAAATCTCGAATATTGGCGCCTGCCTCTCGATCACGTCCTCGTGCCCTTTATGCATCTAGTTTAATGGGTCCGGTCGATGTGTAATACTATACCGGTGCTCGTGAGACGTTTTATTCGTCTCGGATCCATAAAAACGCGCGCGTCGTTGAATATTTTTCTCTATTACAAGTTCAATTATAATTATTATTATTATTATTATGGTTTTTACGACGTTTGTCTTTACGGTGTAAACGCTATCCGCCCCAGTGGTATAAAAAATTCAATATTAGATGGAAAAAATACAAAATTTGAACCCGACTTGTCTATATCGTGGTATTTATATGTATAGGTATACTCAGGGCCGTGCTTGGAGGGCTCGGGGGGGGGGGGTGCGAATGGTGCTCATGCACTGGGCGCTGAGACTACAGGAGTGCCATTGAACATTTTGAAAGATTTGTAATTGAATAATTGAATATTTTTACAATAACTTCGAGGTTGAGCTTTTTTTTTTTGTTTGCTCATCGGTAAATTTTAACAATGAGCGCCAATTCAACTAGGCGCGGTACTGGATTGTAAAAATGTGATCCAAAATATAATGTATTTAACAAAATATACCTTTAGCACGACGAGCATAATGCGATAACAGACTAATCAATGGTGCCCAGAGGTTGGGACTCAAAGTGTAACTGTTTATATACCCACCTCACAACCCTTTAATCATATACTAATAACTACGTTTGATATTTTCTCAAATAGTCACACTAGGTATAATAAGTTGGCGCCACTGAAACTAATAGGTAGTTACTTGTTTATTTGTGCATTTTCAATAGTATAATTCATTTAGCGTTTAAACTTTGCGGCTACAATTTTACACTTGATTGAAATTTCATGTTTATTAAAAGAATTTCAAAAACCTAGGTAAGTATTTCTTTTCAATGTTTTAGAATTGAATGTTATAAATGTAATCAACGATATTAGATAAATCAATTTATATACTAGTTTCAATGTTTAATAGTTAATAAACCTAAAATTGACCAAAATGCATAGATTTTATAGAGCTTGTTCTACTGTATAAGCTCCTACTATTTTTTTTTCTTTGTAGTAAATTAATCATAAAATTAGGTCTTTTATAAAACGAGGTTGGTTTTTGTTTTTTACAAAACTTTCATATTGAACATGAATTTGTACAGTTTTGAGATTGCCGAATCCACAATTTAAATCAATTTTGAAATCAACCACTAATTACAGTTAATTGTGTGTATTTTCATAAAATGTGCACATTTTACATTGATATTTATGTTTGAAGGTTACTGAATCTATATTTTGATTGGCTTTGAAAGTTGATCAATAATAAAGATGTATTAGGAAGTGTTTTTTAATCATTGGAACTGATTTATGTAAATTATTATTTATTATAAATTCGTGTTTATATATTTAATGGCATCCATTATATAGGTATTTTTGTTCAAAGTCTTTATAAAATTGAACAATGATAATATATATGTAAAAAAAAAAAGTAATAGATTTAATATTTAATATTCAATATTTTTTTTTGCAAAAACTTTAAAAAGTGTTCGAAATTAGACCAGTTCATGTATCTAATCAATAGTAGTGGACTTATTTCCTATAAGTCCACTACTAATCGACTACTAGGTCCACTACCTGTCAATCAGCTATCAGGCCTTGATTATGCATCTATTAATTATTTTAATACATTAATAAAACAAATTTAGAGAATTTCATTATTGACACATTTGGATGTGAACGAATAAAATAATTGATATGGTGCCTAGGTATTTTACGAATAATACTATTTTTATAAGTAATGGTTTGTGATTTTCAAAAATACCTAATTATTAGGTATAGCTATATAGATATAATTTTTATTAAGTAAACATATTTTTTCTAAATCATAATTACACGTTCTTTTGGTTTTTTAAATTTAAAAATTGGTATCCAAATTTTCAATTTTAATGAATGAGTATATGTTGTCCCCTATTCCTAGATTTTGTAGATTATTTTTTATATTTTTGAAGTGTTTAACCAACTCTAATTTATTATGCATCTACCATATTGTTTATGATATTATTTTTTAATTAATTTAATCATATTTAATAAAACTAAAATTCAATCAAGTTTAATGTTACATACACTATTTATTTACTAAACAATAAATTTAAATTGAATATAGTACACAACTGTGTGAAATTTTAACATCTAGGATTCATATTAACATCAATACATATTAAAGTAGATGATTATTAGATGAGTAGTTGATGTATTTTAGTATATTACTTGGGTTTGTGATAAATTACCAGCTGCTTCCATAAAAAAACTGACACATGTCCAATAATTTATCATCCAATCACATCATCCGTGACAAAATATGGATTTACTTCAGGCCAGATGCCGAATCTCAAATGAAACAACAGTATACCCAAATAACAGTTTAAAATGTTTTCTTTTCATATACTTACCTACCAAAAATATATTAGGTAGGAATATGCATATTAAAGACCAAAGTGCAATGGACCTATTAGTTAGTTACCTACCTATTATACTGTTATTATTATTAGGTAGGTTCTAACTATTATGTATGTTCGGAATGAATGTGTGTCTATAGCTTAAGATTATATAATACTACAGTAGATACAATAGATAAAATAGTTAGTACCTACTTAATTATTTATTAAATAATGTCAGGCAAGTGTCCAAACACAAAAAACGATAGGTACACGTGTTATCAGTGACTAAGTATACAATATGCTTATTCTATATTGCAAAAAAAAAAAAAACAATAAGTACAGATCAAGAATTAATGTAAGTATCAGTGACGTCGAACTCTGGGTAGGTAACCAAATTTGTTTTGATGAGTGGTACCAGTGATGAGAAATATACATAGTGTAAGTAGTATTTGTAGAAAATATAACTATAAAAAAATGGTAATACGAATTATGTAGTATAATTTATACATCATATTATGACATTATGTTATGTATGTTTATACTGTCTAGGTACTTCGGCGCCACTGGTAAAATGGTAAGTATGGTAGGTAGTTAGACAGAAAAGGATTGGTTCTCATTGGAAACTTCTGAAAACGGATAAAGGAATATTCATCAATAAATCGTTGTAACTGAAATACGATTCTGAGCGGAATTCGGTAAACTGGTAAGATTATAGTAGTGTTTTTCTGTCCATTATAGTCCAGCTGGTAACCCACAAATTAGCAAAAAAAAAACGCAAAGTATCTATTAACCTATCAAATAAATTTAGCTTACCATATTGTAAACACAATTCATTTTACTCGGTAATTACAATTTACTTTTAGCATATACATTTTATAGTTCCTGTGTGCAACAAGAAATGTATTGGTTTTACTATACGATGTGCCATACTTTTTTTGTCTGATAAGAACTTTTTTACTAGATATCTTCCTCCGATTTTCAAGCATAACATTTTTTCTGAAAGCAGAATTTCTCATTGCGTGCATTGAAGTTATTTTTTGATTTTATTTTAATAATCGAGAAAAAATATTTTAAGACTGTATTTTTTTTTCCTATAAATAGTTTTACCTAAAATATTTAAAATTTAAACATTATACGTTTTGTTTCATTTTAATGATTGTTTTTTACATTAAAATTTTTTTCCGATTTTTTTATTTTTCTAATAAAAACAGGTTTTCAGAAGTACCTACCTATACATTATCTTAAAATAATTTCATTGTTTTCCGAGGCTCAGGCGATTTTAAAATCCACAGAGGTATGGGGTTTATGCCCTCCAGCGATTATTTCAAACCTTCATCTTGTGGGGGAGATACTGTAAATTTCAAAAATTTCCTATATACCTATATAAATTTTTAAGTATTACATTGTAAATAATAATATACAATGCTGACAATAATTCCAAAGAGGGGGAGGAGAGCATCCTCCGCCAATATATTGGGATATTTGCCACTGACTTTCAGCTGAACGAATTCAAATTAAAAAGGATAAGGTCTATAGAAAGATCAGTGGTTCTAAAATACATATTTTAGGTCTCATGTTATGCGGAATAAAACTCATATTTCCTGAAACTGAAACGCGCTTACGTATTTTTTACGTAGGTTACGAAAAATCGTATTGTTTTCAATAAACTTTAAAATGTGTATTTATTAGAACCTAAGTAATCCTAAACAAACCCCTTCCGATATATATAAGTCCATCCAGCTAAAATACATTTACGTGTTACGCTATTTGATAAATGAAAGATGAAACGCACACTGTAGAAAGATTAAAAGTTTCAAAGGTTTCCCGGCTTAAAAAGGGGGCAAGAAAATTGTGAAGCGTGCTCGCATATAATGAAAAAAATTAAATAAAGAGCTGATACTGGGGACGGGTGTGCCACTGTTGTAGGTGGGAAGTCGGGAAGGTAGAATACACAGAGTTATTTAATTTATATCTATAAGCAATGATAAACCATTGTTAACGAAAAATGATTAAGATCGAAGTTCCGTTACACAATATTTTTTTGAAAGGCTGTAATATTTACGATTTTCGTCAAAATTTGATTTTAACTCTTATAAAAAAAAAAAAAATATTTTTTTTTTCTGACCATTAAGTAGGTTCGACTTATAAATTATAATAAACATGCTATTAAATTTTCAATCATTTTTGTTTAGATTAAAAATTGTATCCACATGTCTATAAATAGCTCAAATGTTTTGAAAAAGTTACCACGTCTAGAAAATTCTGAAAACATTCAAACGAATTAAAAACGAATTTTTGGTGGTATTTAAAAATCCAAAATCCGAAAAGGGGGGGGGGCGGTGTAACGTACGTGTATTCATCGCACATTACAACATTCGTACAATTTCGTAATTTTGGTTTTTCGCTGTAATGTGTCCGCGGCGACTCGTCTCGCCACGTATTTCTTTTTTTCTAATCCGATATATTATTTGACATCATATACCCACTTAATCTAAATGGCTTCGATTCTTGTCGAGAGCACGTTAATCGTGACGTACGTCTTCTTGGCGGTTTTTAACACCCTCGTCACAGTATGACGTACGATCATACGTAATAATAAATGAAAAACGAATTCGAAAATCGTAAATTATAGATAAAATGACCTGTCTCAGATTTTATAAAAATACACATAGAATTCTATGTGTATTTTTTGAATAATTATTCAAATATGCGATCGTTTTCTTTAAAAAAAAAAAAAAAAAACAAAACAAAATATGTTTAAAGAACAAAAACTCGTTACATGTTATAATTTGTTGGAATGCATTAAACGTCATAATAATAATATAATGGTATATTTGGTTTTTTTTTCCAACGATCAACTTTTATTGGGTATACGGTAATAAATTATAACTAAGTATATATTATGTCGTTTACATTCTACATACTCGTGAGAATATAATAAAAATGATGTTATCAATTTTGTATTATAAAATAAAATATTTTGCGAACGCAGCAAAACGGTTTTTTAATTTCAAATCTCATACAATATATTCACAAAGAAAACAAAAAAAAGAGTTATAGAAGTTATAAAGAGTTATAAAAGAGATATTACTGATGGATATACCACTGTCGTAGGTACGTGGGAAGTAGTTGGGAAGGTAGGGTATTGCGTAGTGTCATTTAATTTTTATCCGTAATCGACGATAAACCCCCTCCATGAAAAATGTCTAAATACGCTACTGGAGAAGGTATATAATATAGACGGAAATTTAATGTATATCAGTAAGCAAAGTTTAATTGCTAACGAAAAAACAATTCTGAGCTGTGGAGTTCGGTTGTTAGTATTGCTTTGTCAACAATACATATACATTTTATGGTAAAATAATTACATAGAAATTATAAATTTTCTTTAATAATATTTGTTTAATATTGTATCTATTTTCAAATTTATTGAAAAAATTCCTGAGAAAATCAAAAAATGTCTTCCTTAGGGTACCTTCCGAGTCCAATTTTCTTTCAAAAAAGGTGCTACATTTAAAAATCGAAAAAAGATTTTCGTGGAAAATTTAACCACGGAGAAAAAAAAATAAGTAAATAAACATCTTTGTATAACCATAAACTTCTTCGCTCCGCTTAGAATTTAAAACTAA